CTTTATATAAAGTGACATTGAAAAGCCTGCTTCTGTAGTATATAATCACGTGTGGGGTATCACTAGAACATACACATATAGGGTATTACAAGGACATACACAGATAAGGTCTATCTGGTATATACACGTATAAGCTATTTCTAGCACATACATATTTTAGGTATTACTTGAATACACATGTATAAGGAATTACTACCTCATATACGTATAAGGATTTTCTATTACTACCTACACGTATAAAGTGTTACTAGTATGTAAACGTACACGGTATCAAAGCTAATAATCTTGTCTTAGAATTGTTTCATATGATTTTTGCGATACTGAAGAGACAGACAGAGTCACGTAATGCATGGTTGTTGTGTTCAGTAATCATGGTACGGTTTCTAAAATAGGTCAGTCAGTATTTGCCAGGCTTTTTATAGAACAAATGCAAAACATCCGAGTCACGATGTCTGTCGGAGGTATTGGACCCATGACCATGCGTGGTGATCGTGAGTTGTTGTTATATGAGAAATTATACTGTAAGGTATTAAGTTGATCTAAACTCTGTAACCTGTGTGCACGAAGACGCCCTCACAGATGCCTTTAATCGACCGTATCTGCGCAAAGAGAACTTTAATAAAGACATGCACCGATACTTCAAGAGTCACTTTAGCGTGACAAATCAACAACGTATACAGGAGAATATACAATAATAGCTTACTTGAGATTTAGGTATATGAAGGGCACATGTATTTTATATCTGTTGAAGTGTTCGAAAAATGTATCTTAAAACTTACTGGTATAGCTGCGATATATATATGTTTGTTTGTTTGATGCTTGTCTGTTACTAACGCCACACTCGTTATATTATATTTCAGCTACATAAGTCGGTCTGTAATAAACCGAGTTTGGACCAGATAATTTAATGAGTGATGTTGTGAGCATTGATCACCGCAGTTGGGATATGATGACAGGCATCAACCAAGTCAGCAAGCCTGACCACCTGACAGCATCAGTTATGCATTCATTAAGACGTTGCTGATGTTCTTTGAAAATAGGATACTTATTTGGTCATAAAGTGTATTATACATAACGTATATCCAATACCATGTATTCAGGATAACAGAAAACGCTAAACGACGTTAAAGATGGTAATTGTTGTTACCCTGCCTGTAATAATAATCAAGGGTGACATATCCGGATGATTTCCAGTGAAATCGCCCAACTCAACGAACCAATATTAGTGTTATCGGTGCGATAAACCAGTTCGATGATCTTCGAACATATGTGTGTGACCTTCAGAGCTGGTTGTTTTTTGTCTGGTGTTTAATGCGGATGCTGATGTCTACAGCAGTAGACCGATTGTTTAATTATTTTATCCCTCGTGTCGGATTCCTAGCCAAAGTACACCATGACCAGGGGCGCATTCATCTTCCCGAGACAAGGGAGTTAACTGACTATGAAAGTCCAGTTTCCACCCTTGGCGAACTAGGCTGGAATTATGGAGTTCTTTTTTGGCTGGACCAGCGAGTTTATACATCAAAATCGCGTGACGAAATCGACATGCGGTTCGTAAACTGCCGTGCAGATTTCGGTTGAATGCAGGATTTGCAAAGCATGTGTACTGCCAACTCGGTGTCAGTAGATATTTTTAATCAAGGTGCTCACGTGATTTGATGCACTCTACGACGTAAGACCCGTTTTATTACTAAATAGATTTTGATTATCGATCAGATAGACTTCACTGGGCGCCGCCATTTTGTTTGAAGCAAATGCAAGTGATGTGAGAGGTGGAATCTGATTGGTCAATAGGAGGGACATAGAAGGGACATAACTCGTAATAGCCTCTGGTGGCGCAACGACCGAGCCCAGAAACTCCAGCTTAGTTCGGCAAGGGTGGAAACTGGACTTTTAAAGTCAGTTATCTCCCTTGCCACGGGATGATGGGGGCACTGGAAGGACAGATTCATGTTTGAATCATAGGAAAATGACAAAAGCCCAGTTTATGTGGTAAAGCCTGAAGCCAGAGCAACCCCCTTGAGAACCCTTGGTAGTCTTCCACTTCAGTCCAAAGCTCAACAAGGAAATCGTCGTCAAAGCGCGTCGAAGGATCAGGAAAGGATAAAGCCTGACATTGGCGATGGTACATCGGACAACTTGGACGATGAATATGGATTCCTTGACGAACCTCCAGTGGAATGAATGTGGAAAATGATGAGGAATTAACCGATGCAGTGGATCATTTGGAAACAGAGACTGAACAATCCAAATGAACATGTAGAGACATCCTCTTCAGCCGAGAGATGACTCGGAAACCAGGAGCACCATGCTGATCAGGACCTGGACCCCACACAGATTGAACGAGAACTGACCTGGACCCCACACAGATTGAACGAGAACTGACCTGGACCCCACTCAAGTTGAACGAGAACTGACCTGGACCCCACACATATTGAACGAGAACTGACCTGGACCCCACACAGATTGAACGAGAACTGACCTGGACCCCATACAAATTGAACGAGAACTGACCTGGACCCCACTCAAGTTGAACGAGAACTGACCTGGACCCCACATAGATTGAACGAGAACTGACCTGGACCCCATACAGATTGAACGAGAACTGACCTGCACATTGTACCGATGTATTGAAGACTGTATGCAAGTGTGGTCATGGTAGTTTGACATTGGATGTTCTCATTGTAATGCCAAGATTCAATGGTTGTTATGATGTAAGGAAGTGGTTCTAATGTTTCAAGGCATGTGGAAGAAATGAAAAAGTGACGTCTACTGTTATTTATCATAGAATGTTTGTCAAGAACTGTGTAAATAGTGCTGCCATTATTGTGATGAAAATGTTTGTTTGTTGTTTAACGCCGCACTTAACAATATTGTATATTCCAGCTACATGACGGCGGTCTGAGAAAATAAACGAGTCTGGACCAGACAATCTAGTAATTGACATCATCGGCATCTATCCATGCGATTAAAATACGATTACTTGCATCAACCAAGTCAGCGAGCCTGACCACCCGATCCCGTTAGTTGCCTCTTACAACAAGCATAGTCGCTTCTCGCCACAAGCATGGTTGCTCAAGACCTATTCTAACCGGGTAGTAATGACAATGAATTGACCATCCTTATTATTGCAGTACAGTTAGATACTTCACAGTTGTGTTTGCTCATAATCATAATGTAGCCAGAGAGATTTGGGAAAGGGGATACCAGTGTTTCGGATGAACAAAGTCCTTATTTGCAGTGTCCAAGATTAGTGTTGGATGTTACCTGTTATACGTGACTAATTTTTATATTCTAGTTCAGTGGAGACGACATTGGTGCAATAAAAGTGTGACAGCCCTTCAGAACAGGTTGTATTTTGTCTGGTATTTAATGCTAGAATTGAAAAAGAAATTAGGTCCTCCTATTTTTAAATATTTCCCCACTGTAAGTATGTTTATCAACAGACGGTTGACAATGCAATTATAAAGTCACAACTAGCTATGACGCAAGGTTTAGCGTACATAGTCACTATGATTTCTGATGTCACAAATTTGGGGAAAACGGAATAAAACAATGACGCAGATTTGATCGTCATAACTTATACAGACACCTCTGTTGCAGGGGTGTAATATAAGTGCAAATAAGTAATTTTTCAGGAACAACTTTCAGTAAGCTTTACACATAGATCCGATGCCCATTTACTCCCAAGGCGTTGATTATAGGTGTGAGTGCTTCTGTAAACAAACATGGCTGCAAAAACATTTGGTACTTTATATATTAATAATTCTCTCGTAATACAATAGTTTTAGTCTAATGTATGGTACATGTACTTATAAATACGATACCATAACACATCCAGCTCATAATCTCTATGGCCCACAATGGGTTGTTGATGCATTTATCAGCACTGGATGTTACTTGGACTTGATGCAAGAACAGTTGGGGGCACGGATGGCCCAGTTGTCTAAGGCGCTGCCATTTGCTGTGCAGAGTTGCGCCCCTTGGGAACGCCATAAACCTATGTTTGTTGGTTTCTAGGTTTGACAGCACTATGCACGTTCCCGTGAGTCTCGCCAGTGGTAAATGTCTGAGACCTGCATTACTTAAATTGGGACTTTCTGACTCGATAGAACAATATACTTTTAAAAATCGTGTAAAATCCAACTCATTCACTCCAGGCGGTTCAGTGAGTGATTGAGTGAGTTGGGTTTAACGCCGCTTTTAACAGTATTCCAGTTATATCACGGCGTGTCAGCTTGATGTGGGAGGCAACCCGAAGTGATGCAGGTCTCAGACGTTTACCAATTTCGGTGAAACCCACGAGCACGGGTATGGTGCTGACAAACCTTGAAACATAATCGGGGCGAACCGGGATTCGGTTTCTGGTGTGCCCAAGGGACGCAACTCTGCACAGCGAATCGCGGCACCTTAGACGACTGGGCCACCCGCGCCCCCTCCAGGCGCTTCAAGATAGATATGTGTATGTGGATATGTATACACGAGGCCGTAGTTTACTTTTTTTGATCAATATTTGTACAAGTATCACTTGTCCCCAACTTGTATTTTTACGATAAAACTGTTTTCTGTGAGTTTGTCCCATAGCTGGAAAAATAGGTTGTATTGTGCGTTGTTTCGATTCCCAGATCCTTCCAGAGAATTAATCAGTAGTTACTTCTTCTCCAAGTGGAAAATCTGCGATCTGTCCTAAATAGCAGCGCCGAGTTATTGATGTAAAACAATTACGATCCAACTAAAACATTGTTGCTTTTTATACATAACATATAGATCTACAAGTGTAAGGTATTAATAGTACATGTACGTATAAGGTCTTACTGGTTTGTACATGCATAAGATATTACTATTATATACACGGATAAAGTATTACTTGTATATACACGTTTTGTTTGTTGTTAAACACAGCACTCAGCAACTAATCACTCGTCCAATTACGAAACAACTGTCATTATATTATTAATAATTAAATAGATAACACTTGTAGAACAACTGACAACACTCACAGCATGTGGCCGTCAGCAGCAAAGCCAGTAGGGTGGGTACATGCGCCATGGTCGTCTCCGTGTGTGTGAGTCAACAGACTACAGGGCGTGTAACCTACGTATACCCCACCTGACGGGTGGCATCCAGTCAGCCTGCATTGACGAGTACTGCGACCAAGAAAACCACGCCAATCAAAGAATGTCGCGTTAAAGCAGAGCGCTGTTTTTGTTTAATATAGTGTCATGCTCTGTATGTGTGCGCACGTGTGTGTGTGTTCGTGTGCCGTGTGTGCGTTCGCGCGTGCGTGTGTGACATATTGATATGTCGTTAAGAATTGTTGGTCCCCGGAAAAAGTCTGTGTAATCTTTCCGATATACAGGCAATCATATGCTTGAGTGAGTGAGTGTTTTGGGGTGTTTAACCTCTTTTGGTGTGATGTGGCTGGGGTTCGAACAACCAACCTTCTATTCTCCAGGCAGACGCTCTATCCACTAGACCACGGAGACGGTCAAATTTACAGAGGCATAATAATGTCGAACCCTGATTACGCTTTTCATCATTAAATCAATAAACGCAAACTTCTACTCCAAGGAGAGCAGACCGCCTCCGTGGTCTAGTGGTAGAGCGTCAGCCCGGAGAGCGGAAGGTCCGGGGTTCGATACCCGGCCGCGTCATACCAAAGACGTTAAAAGATGGTACTTGTTGTTACCCTGTCTGGTGCTCGGCATCCGGGGGCTAAAACAAGGACTGGTCGGCGCGGAGTCAGAATACTGTGTCTGAGTGGGGTATTCATGTTAAACTGCGGCATGGTACCTCAGCTAGCACTATAAATCGGCATCAGTCCGGACAAGTACAAGCAGCCACACGCACACACGCGACGTTAAAACCCAATTTCACCCCACTTCACCAAGGAGAGCAAGCACCTGTGCGTGATGAACATCCCTTACACCTACACGCCATTCACCAGCATCTTCCCAGGACATAAACATCTTCATCATGAGGCTGACAACACCTCTGACCTTTGTGGAATACTTATTATTACATTAATCCCCCAAACTGGCCCATTTCACCTCTCCTCAGATCTCTTCATCTCTGACCTTTCCATGTTCTGTCTATCTCTTTGTTACATGTCTCAAATATCAAGACTGACATTTCTAGACAGACACCTATGATGTCCTGTGATTTCCAAGGGTAAACTGAGTGAGTGAGTGAATGAGTGTTTTAGGGGTATCAAATATCAACTTTAAAAGTGACATGTTTATGGAAAGAAGAAAGTGTCCGACAATCAATTCAAGTGACTTCTGGCCAATGCTCTACTCATGACCACTGACCCTCGGGATCCATGGTACATCTTACAGCACAGGGGGCGGTCGGGTAACCTAGTGGTTTAAGCGTTCGCTCGTCACGCCGAAGACCCGGGTTCGATTCCCGACATGGGTACAATGTGTGAAGCCCATTTCCGGTGTCCCCCGCCGTGACATTGCTGGAATACTGCTAAAAGCGACGTAGAACCATACTCACTCACTCACTCTTACAGCATAGGCTATGTCCATGTATTACTAGTGCACACACATTAGAGCAGTAACAAGTATATACACGTACAAGGTATTTCTAGAGTACACACGTATAATATAATTTTCAGTAATACTAAAACAGATTAGAAGGAAGATAGGTAATCAGTCAAATAGAAGCTTGTTCCGCCTGTCCACTGGTCAGTGTTACATCATGGCCGGTAGGAAATTCTTCAGTGTGGTGATATTGAAAAGTTGACTCGTAACGCAATGACAGTGCTCAAGAGTCAGTATGGTTTTATGCCGCTTTTATCAATATTCCAGCAATATCACGGCAGGGGACATCAGAAATAGGCTTCACACATTGCACCCATGTCAGGAATGGAACACAGGTCTTCGGCGTGGCGAGCGAACGCTTTACCACCTAGGCTACGCGACGCCCCCAGTGCTCAAGAACCCATATACTTTACACATACCGACCATGTTTGACATCATTGAGAGGGGTCGCGTTTTAACTCATCATGCTGGTCGTGACAACATGTTGAAAGCATTGACACAATATGCTAATATCACCCGTGAGGTAGAGGAACTGTACACATATCTCTGCATTGGATGTCAGGAGAAGCGTAAACGAATCGGGGCAGAGTTACAGTATAACTAAAATGACTGAAATTGTCACTTAGGCAACATTCAAAACGACAAAATATTTCAGTCATTTCACAATAATTATTATGATTTCATTTTTTATATAATGATATCGAATTCCAAACATTTTATGCTTTATTTCATTACCAAGTGACTGATTAAAGGAAAACGAAAGTCAATGTATATTTTAAAAGGTTTTGGCTTCTATTTCCAGCAGTATTTGTCTATTGCGATGTGTTTAAGCACTTTTGAGCTTCTTAACCTTTAGGGGGCACGGGTGGCCCAGTCGTCTAAGGCGCCGCGATTCGCTGTGCAGATTTGCGTCCCTTGGGCACGCCAGAAACCTATGATTGTGGGTTCGAATTATGTTTCTAGGTTTGTCAGCACCATACCCGTGCTCGTGGGTTTCACCGAAGTGGATAACGTCTGAGACCTGCATCACTTACTGTAAAAAGCGGCGTTAAACCCAACTCTTAACCTTTAGTTAATCTGGCGGAAAAATAATTGTAAAATGACTAAAATATTGTTGCTTTTTATACATTGACTGTAACATATACACGTGTAAGGTTATACTAGTACATGCACGTATAAGGTCTCACTGGTTTATACATGCATAAGATATTTCTATTATATACACGGATAAAGTATTACTTGTATATACACGTTTTGTTTGTTGTTAAACAAAGCACTCAGCAATATTCCAGCTATATGACGGTGGTCTGTAAATAATCAAGTCTGGCCCTGACAATCAAGTGATTGACATCATGAGCATGGATCCACGCCATTGGGATGGATGACATGTATCAACCAAGTCAGCGAGTCTGACCACCCGATCCCGTTAGTCGCCTCTTACGACAAGCAAAGGTGCTTTTTAGGGGCAAGCATGGGTTGCTGAAGACCTATTCTACCCCCGATCTTCACGGGTCAGTATATACACGTGTAAGGTCTTACTAGTATATATACGTTTAAAGTATAAATGGTATATATACGTATAAAGTATAACTAATACAAACGCGTATAAGGTGTTACTGGTATGTACACGTCTTAGATAATGCAAGTATATAAACTAATAAGGTATCAAAGCGAATAATAATTTCTCTTATTTATTTCAAACTGTTGGATACTGGTGATATTTAGACATATAGAGCACGTGATGTTGTGTTCAGTAATCATGGTACGATCTCGAAAATAGGTCAACATTAGCCTAACTTTTTTTAGAACAAATGTAAAGCATCCGAGTCACGATGTCTGCCGGAGCTATTGGACCAATGCACATGTGTGTTGATCTTGAGTTGTTATTTTAAAAAAATATACTGAAAGGAATTAGGTTGATCTAAACTCTGTAACCTGAGTGCAAAAAGACACCCTCACAGGGGCCTTTCGTTCGAGTGAGTGAGTGAGTATGGTTTTACGCCGCTTTTAGCAATATTCCAGCAATATCACGGCGGAGGACACCAGAAATGGGCTTCACACATTGTACCCATGTCGGGAATCGAACCCGGGTCTTCGGCGTGACGAGCGAACGCTTTAACCACTAGGCTACCCGACCGCCCCCTTTCATTCGATAGACAAGCACTGATACTTTAAGAGTTCAGTGTCACGCGTCATTTCAACTATGTATACAGAAGAATATATGTTAACAGTTTACCTGGGATTTAGTTTTATATACAGTAAACTACGGTTATAACGAACTCAAAGGGACTACTATTTTTAGTTCGTTATAACCGTAGTTCGTTATAAGCATATATACAGCATAGCTACAGCAAATAGTCGGGACTAAAAAGTAAGTTCGTTATATCCGTCAGTTCGTTAAAAGCGTGTTCGTTATAATCGTAGTTTACTGTATGGCACATTATATATTAAGCCAATATTATGCTGGTTAACCCTGTTGAAGTACATGTATTTGAAAATATATTTTAAAACTTACTGGTATAACTGGAATGTTTGTTGTTTAACGCCCCACTCATCAATATTCCAGCTATACTACGTTATCTATAAATAATAGTTTGGGCCAGACAATCCAGTGATAGACATCATGAGCCTCGATCTACGCGATAAGGTACGATGACAAGCATCAAGTCCACCCGATCTCGTGAGTCACCTCTTACGACAAGAATGAGTTGCTGGGGATCTATTCTAACACGGATCTTAGGAGTGATACATCTATATCATCAGTCATTCATGCCTCTTGCTGATGTTCTTTGAAAATAGGATACTTATTTGCCAATAAAATATACTATACATCACGTAAATATATAATCCACACATTCTTACTCGCCTCCGTGGCCTAGTGGAAAGAGTCTCTGTCCGGCGAGCGGGAACGTCGGTAGTTAGATCTCTGGCCGCGTCACACAGTGCTGCGTTAAATATGGTGTCATACTGTGCGTTCGTGCGTGCGTGCGTGCGTGCGTGTGTGCGTGCGTGTGTGGCTGATTCTGTATGACGTTATTGATATGTTCTGCTATACATTCATGATTTTATTATATCAGTAATTCGTTATTGATGTGACAAAATGATTTTTAAAATCACAAACTCAATTTTAGATAATTATCATAAATTGAATTTGTGATATCAAAAGACCCATATTATATATTATAATACATCTAAAATTCTAAAGTATTTTTGATAATACTAATTCAATTTTGTGATATCAAGAATTCATTTTGGATATCTAATAATCGAATTTGTGATATCAACTATTTAATTTGTGTTATCATAAAATATGGTGATTTTAGATATCAATAAATTGAATTTGATATTCCTCACATTTAGAAATATAAATACATGTATTCGATTCATCACGCAAAATAAACAGAGAAATAAACATTACCAAAGATCAGGTAAAGTTTTAAACAGATAGATTTAAAACCCGTAGGTCTACAAATGACGAATCCTTGTCCATATGTTTTCCGATTCACAAATTGTAAAATTCGTCTCGCCAATGAAACTACTTCCGAGGCAGGGAACCACTTCCGGGTTGGGAATGGTTCTGATCAGTTTGTAAACATCTTGTGATGGACTCGCCACTTAATTTGGTAAGGGTTAGACGGCTACACGATAGTAAACAGTTGAATACAGGGGGCCAAATACAGATTTCGACGAAATAATATATCTTGCTCTTCATTTTGAACTGTTTATCAGCTGTTTGTTAAATCAACATGTAAAAAATCGAATTAATTCAGGGCAATGTCACTGATCAATGCAAGTTGGCACTTTCGATACCGCATTTTCAATAAATAATTCCTACTGAAATGTCGGTTTGCAACACCAAGTGAACAGTGTCGTTGTTGTCATAAGTCCCGTGTAATTATTCAAAATAGCACACACATATGGGGCTTTTAGCATAAGCCACTTCTAGTAGTCATGCAGTTAAACAGCTTGTGATTCCCTTTATCATGTTTATTCATAAGCAATAATACCAGCTTCAGCATGTTCAGCGTTGATTAGAAAATAGCCGAAAGCTGCGATGGGTCCTACACTCAAGACATGACCCTACATGATGTAGGGTCATGTCTTGACTAGGATCCCATCGCGGCTCTCGGCTATTTAGGAATATTCTGTATAAGGGACCACACTGGAATCCTGGTTGTTATTGTTGGCCAATCTGTAAACCCAATTTAGTATTTTTAGTGCGAGCAAAAATACATTTGTCACTGTTTAGTGTGTATTGTTCCCCACAGGCTCACCAGCAGGGTCGGCGAGCAGATGCCCTTGTGCGGAGTGGGAAGTTTGATGATGCAGTTGACTGTCACAAGAGAGCAGCAGGTCAGTAACAAGTAAAATAGTAATGTTCCAAGTCCTGAGCTAGCAAACCATTACTTGCAAGGTAAGGCACTCCAAACATAGTCAGATGATGAACCCTGAAATAGAAGATCACTCTGCCAGGCATAGAATGGAGAATGGAATCTGGAATTGAATGGAATTAACTTATACCTCACAAGATACTGTGACTATAATGATTAGAGATGTCATGAAAAATGGATGTAACAATGCATTTGGAATTTATTCTGACGATACGCCTACACCTGGGTAAACATGATCATGATGATCAATGCATATTCAAAAGTAACATTGACAATGTTTTGCAAATAAGCTGATAATTACCTGGCTTAGAGTTGCCTAGTCGTCTATCATGAAATAACAACATGCTGAATCTGATTACATAATACTGTTAGAACGAGCCAATTTAACCAGTCACATGATTTAAAACTAAAAAAAACCCCTCTTGATAGCTAGACCACATAGAACAAGAGGAAGTTTGCGCAAAAACATCACAAATTGAATTTTGCAGTCAGGACGAAAAACTTATATATATATGATACATGATACCCCAGAAATGAATATTATCATATTATCATATGTATCAACTATCTCATGAACCATTCCATGTTCCTGGTACCCTATGTAAGCTGAAGTAAAAAATTAGATAACATGATCAAATGTGCCATTTTCCTTTCAAGAAGTTCAGCAAAATATCAACATGAAACTATTGCTCCATCATGTACAAGAAACTGTTTGGTACCTGATATTTACCTGTTCAGTTGGAGCCTACACTAAGTGTTTCTGTAGGATATTTTGGGGAATGTGGACACGTTACACGTGTGGTGTCCCCTTAGGCAAGTGACTTTGTTCGAGATATGACTCTGTTCACCCAGCAGTGGTTATGAACCTCCCAGCACCTCATGGGCAGCTTGGGTTGTATACTCCCCAGGGAGCTGAGAATGATTGTTGAGTGCACACTGATCCAGTGACCAGGGTAATAATATCATTTTGAACCTGCCCATGTTGTGTGGGAATCACGCACGTTGAGACGCCCAACGCTAACACCGTATTCGTGCGTGCGTGATTCCCGTGCACCCTTTCGAGTTGAGTTGATTGGTTCAACTGTGTCATATGGCCCTGTGACGCAGGGGTAGCATTATCCAGATGGCTGTTTCAATGAATGCTCGTTCCAACCGTGACGAACAGGTCTGGTTGTCGATGAAATATAGTGATAGCTAAATAGACCGATTTTTTATTCATGCACCGATTGTCTTTAAATGTAATATCCAGTTATGTATGACTGTTTAATAATCTCATACCAACTTTGACTGGAGTAGGTCCAATAGTTTTTCAGATATATTGTAGTAAACGTCGGTACCGTAAATTACCTTCCAGACTATAGCTGGCACTGTGTTTATTAGCCTGCATCAGCTACCCAACAAACTGGGTTTTGGAGCTGTTGAGGTGCAAATGGGGACCGTGTTGACAGGAAGGTGTTGCCTCGTGCAGTGCAGCAAGAATAGCTTCAAACACAAGTCAGACCAGTCAAAATTATGGTCCATAATAAGCAAGTTTTCCATATTTCAATACTTTCAAACTGGGAGCAGTGTTTCTCTTTGGAGCTATCTAGCCCGTCTAGCCAGCAAAATTTTGAGATTGTTTCCCACACTGTATAGAGGGCAGGTCCCAATAACTTTTCAAGGTATTTATTGTGGTTCAAAACTATGAAGGGTTCAGTTATCTATTGTGTTGTCTGAAACCTTTTGCATTTTAACTGTTTTCATCTTTGCAGAGTACCTTCTTGAGGCGATGCAGCTGACGAGCTCGGAACATGCTCTAGAGTCACTTCGATTGCAGCATAAACACCATCTGCATCAACAAGAGCTCATCCTTGAAAAACGCATAAGAATTGAACGTGCTCATAATGCTCAAAAAAGCTCTGAGAACAGGACCAATCAGAGCTGTCAAACAGATGACCTTGACACAATTGATGGCGACCTTGACCCAAATCATTTCAGCGAGGCAAGTTTGTACCATACAATGACTCACACAGACACCCTGTTAGCATTCCTCAAAGACTCTCAGGAATCCAGCTCACCAAAGACATCAGCTCCACGAGTGACCTTCAATAAATGCCCAAGGGATGAAACTGCTGTCATTGAGGAGCTCCAGGCCCACAATGAGCATCTCCAGAAGCATGTGAAACGCCTACTAAGAGACTTGGACACTGTCAGGAGGGAAAATGAACAACTGCAGACACAACTCAGGGAGAGGGAAACATTAAAACATGTCATGTCGGAGCCAGTGTTCAGCCCGGATCATTTCACTCCATTTGACCTTCCCCCTCTTGAAATGCCGACCTTGAGCTTGGATATGCTTCAAGAGGGATTGCAGTCAGATGATGCACTGATTGAGAAATAGACTCTTTTAAGAAAAGGCAGCAGTAATATATTTTTAGATAACTTCTTTTTCGTCTTGAGTGTGATCAAGTTGATGGTTTTCAAAATAAAATTGTTTGAGATGTTGTTATATCATTGATAGAAATACCATATGCCCTCACTTACTTTTTTTAAATTGGGAGTTAAGAAACCTTTTTGCTTTAACATGTCTTATTAACCTGTAAACATCAAGATTTTTTTAAATATTAATTTTAAATCTGATTAATGATAATAATCTACAAATTGAATATAATTATTGAATGTAATAGCATAGGTTGTCCTAACAAGTCTTTAAGAGGCATTTAGAACCTTTTTCTTAGGTTGTCATGGCAATAGCCATGTAGTCAAGACGATTAAGCTTTGTCATGATGTCAAATCAGAATGTGTTCAGTAAGAATGATAGGATTGGTAATATATATACTTTAAACATGTAGATATTTGTTTTGATTTTTAGTTCTACACAAGGCGTAATCAAGTCTGAAATTGGAATCTCATATTTCTGGTTCCTGGCTCATGTTTATATGCTCAATTTCATGTAACTATTTAAGTGTTAAGGAAACAGTTTTTCATCCTAGTATTTTGTTCGTAACACCAGCCAGTGTTATTCTGCTGATCTGCCTTAACAGACAGTGGACAACTGTTGGATTCTAAGTAGAATTTGTTTGTTTTCTGTTGAACACCGCATTCAGCAATATTCCAGCTATATGATGGCGGTCTGTAATCTATCAAATCTGAATCAGACAATCCATGAGCATAGCTCTACGCAATTAGTATACGATGAAATGGATCAACAAGATCAGCAACCAAGAACCCCCGATCCCGTTAGTTGCCTCTTACAAGCATGGGTTGCTGTAATGCAGTTCTAACCTGGAGTGGTTGGGGCATACGTTGTACAGTGAGGGGTAATGCTTCCGTCATGGATCCTGCCATCTTCCCGGGGCAAGAGAGTTAACTGACTTTTAAAGTCCAGTTTCCACCCTTGCCGAACTAGGCTGGAATTACTGGGCTCAATCGTAGCACCACCAGTGGCTGTTACCAGTTATGTCCCTTCTAAGCCTCTCCTATGGACCAGTCAGATTCCACCTCTCGTATCACTTGCGTTTGCTTCACACAAAATGGTGGCACCCAGTCAGGAGGATCTGATCTATAATCAAAGATCTATATTGTGATAAAACGGGTCTTATATCGCGAAATGCATCAAATCACGTGAGCACCTTTATTAAAAACATGAAAATGTTTGGAAAATATCTGTTGACAAAGAGTTGGCGGTGCACATGCTTTGCAAATCCTGCAATCGACCGAAATCAATTTCAATTTGGGTGCGCAATTTTGATTGGACTATGCATAGACTCGTTAGTCCAGCCAAAATGTATTTCCATAATACCAGCCTAGTTCGGCAAGGGTGGAAACTGGACTTTTATAGTCTCTTGCCTCGGTAAGATGGGATCCTGCATCTCCTTGAAAGGACTATTGTTAGGTGGTAAATATCTCCAGTGTTAGAGTGTTAATAATGTTTTTAAGGTAAGATTGTAATGTTTAAGAGTCCTTGCGATCTATCAAGGGTCTCTCTTGATAAATGAATTCATGAAACATGAGGCCTGGTATCGATATATGAAAACTATGGTAATCATTTTTGGGGGATGCTGCCCTTTCTTTTTAACAAAGATGATCTGTTTGGTGACTGTTTAGCATGTTTAATTTCTCAGTGGCAGACATTTGTGTGTATAGGGGACAAGTCTTCGGTGTGCAGAGTTGTGTCCCTTAGTTTTCAGGCTGTTATGTGAGTCCCATCTGAACCTGTGTTGGCACCATACCTGTTGTGTGTCTTACCAAAGTGATAAATGTCAACACTCGGCAGAAAGCACAGGCGGCCTAGTTGCCGAGGTGCCGCAATTTGATGTGCAGAGTTGTGTCCCTTAAGTGTGCCAGAAACCTATAATCGTGGGTTCAAATCCAAGAATCACCTGGTTTGTTTTTGGTTCGTCAGCACCATACCTTTGCTTGTGGCTTTCACCAAAATGGAATACGTCTAAGTACTGCATCACTTAAGGCCTTCTTCCCACATAAAGCTAACAGGCCGTTATATAACTGAAATACTGTTCAATCTGCATCAATTTTTCTACATCTCCCTCGTCTGTGATAACTGATGGGTTCACGCAATTACATGAAACAAGGACTACATACATTCCGAAGTCAAATAAATCTAAATAAATGTATTATATTGTCGGTTATGGTTATTTGTTGTTTAACGCCGCACTAAGCAATATTCCAGCTATATGACGGCGGTCTGTAAATAATCGAGTCTGGACCAGACAATCCAGTGATTGACATCATGAGCATTGATCCACGTATTTGAGATACAATGACATGCATGAACCAAGTCAGTGAGCCTGACCACCCGATCCCGTTAGTCACCTTTTACAGGAAGAATGGGTTGCTGAAGACCTATTCTACCCCGTATCTTAACGGGTCTATTATATTGTCAAGACAAGTTTGTCATTATGTGTAAATACTAGGTTATGACAACAAGGAACCTACTTGCCTGCTGAAGTTGATTCTAGATTCACATCAAGGAGTCTTTTTAATTATATATACTACTCAAAAGAAGTTAAAGAACACCGGATTCTTTCATATTACTATAGTTAATCTGTCTTGGCATGTGAGATTAACTATAGTAATATGAAAGAATTGGGTGTTCTTTAACTTCTTTTGAGTAGTATATTTGAGTAAATATACATTTATGTTATTATTATTGATATTGTTAAGATAGCTGATCAGGAAGAACATGGCACATTTTTCTTATATAGGTGTAACCATGGTAACAGTATTACATTAAGTGTGGGGTAACCATGGTAACTGTTCTACAAGCGTTGTGTACCTAGTTCTTGCTGTACTCTTTATCTATTCATATCTTTTATTATGAAGGTTCCATTTACTGGTAATTTAATTTAGCCCCAGAATCTTTTGATGAAATGTGGTGAAATAGGGTTTTACGTCGTGTTACGTCGTGTTCAAGATTACTGAGATTATTGCATTTATATATAGTAACATGCATGTATGCATCTGCCTGTCCTAGTCTGGACTCTTGCTGGTTTTATAGTGCTGAAAATACCATGCCGCATTGATACCCCACTTGTAACACACATTATAGCTAAAATGGATAGAATTATCATTAAACCGCCCGCACGTTATCAGAAATGAGCGGGCCACTGTAACTTGATAATGCCCTCATATTGCTTGATGACAGGCCATTATCAAGCCCGTTGTTAGGTGACGTCATAGGGTAGAGAAAGTGACGTCACGTATTGTAGTGACGTCATCTGGGTTTTTTCTATGATGTTTCCCTATTTGTAAAAGTGGGTCAGTGACCATAGTGTTGATTGCAGTAAATGTTTCAAAACCAATATTGTTGTTTCTTTTAACAGATTCCATCCATTTTAGTTATAATAACGGTAACCCTCTTTTTCAGGGCATTATCATTTGCAGAAACCCTTGTTCTTTTCAACTGACCTCCTTTGTCGGGCAGTTAATGGAAGACCTCAGGCTTCTGCAAATGATAATGCCCTGAAAAATAGCGTTACTGTTATAGTATACACTGATGATCAGGTCAGTCCTTGTTTCATTCCCTTAATGCGACTATACTGTGTGTGAGAGGGGTATCTATGTTTAACTGTGGCATGGTATCTCAGTGGCCTAGCACCAGGAACCTGTCTTACCTCTGAACTTGTGGACGAGTACAAGCAGCCACACACATGCATGCACATCACTATATACAAGTGCAGTAATCTTGAAGACCCGTCAAGATCCGGGGTAGAATAGGTCTTCAGCAACCCATGCTTGCCGTAAAAGGCGACTATGCTTGTCATAAGAGGCAACTAACGGGATCGGATGGTCAGACTCGCTGACTTGGTTAAAGCATGTCATCGATCCTAATTGCGTGGATAGATGCTCATGATATCAATCACTGGATTGTCAGGTCCAGACTCAATTATTTATAGACCGCCGTCATATAAACAAGCAACAATCTAGAACACCATGTTAAACCCCATTTCACCTCACCTGATACAACTCAGCACAACGATCACAGTGTGGAATGAGACCACATGAATCGGTAGCTCAATTTAACTTTCTGGTCCGTGCCTTGTTGGCTTTTACAATTAATCATTGCTCAGCTGTCACATTCAACAGGTACATGAAGTAACAGAAAATTGATTTTCTAAAGTTTATTACTTATCTAAATCAATATTCAGATACATATTTGTCTGAAGGTAACACCAGTTGTAGACACATCTTGGAACATCTCCAAACGTATGTGTTAAGAACCCAGGAAAATTCATTTATTTAGTTACCTATTCCGGTGTTCATCATTTTGTTGATTGATTTCACATGTTTATGTTTCTTGAACAGATTCTTGTAAAATAAATGGGATTCATGCAACAATGTATATTGTTTTGCTTGCAAACTTTGCCAGTATAAAAAAAAGGATTAAAATGTGAGAGAGAAAATTCAATTAAACAGAACAAACTTCCACTGGATACAGCAGTTTCAACTGCCTTATAGTCATGTCTATTGACATTACATGGCAAAAGAATATATATATCCTTTATTGTCAAATTTGATACAACAGTAGATCATTTATCATTCTGACTGTCCAGGTTGAACTATTGACCTATCAATCACTTCACAATGTACAGGCAAGCTGTCACTGTTCACATTCAATAAGTGGCGGTCGGGTAGCCTAGTGGTTAAAGCGTTCGCTCGTCACGCCAAAGACCCGGGTTCGATACCCAACACGGGTACAATGTGTGAAGCCCATTTCTGGTGTCCCGGCCGTGATATTGCTGGAATATTGCTAAAAGTGGCGTAAAACCATACTCACTCACATTCAATAATGAATACTAAAAGACGACCGGGTGTACAGGAACTTACACGTTTCTAATATTTGGGAATTCAGATTCAAGACTTCAATTCAAATCCCACATTAAAAATATATTATGGTCTTTCAATTTCTTGACTTGTTTCTTTAATCTGTAAAGGACAACCAACTGTGAAACCCGATCAGTCCTTGGTTGTGTGGCATTGAGTCCAGCATCGTTATAAACATCAGATAAAACAGTTCAACATTTGCACAGACTTTATTATCAACAAAGTAGGTCAACATCAGGAAGAGGATCGGTGAGAGAATATGTCACTATCTGTTAAGTAGCTACTCCAAGTGAGGACTGTCCCCATCAACTTGCAACAACACACAGGAATGAGAATGTTTTCAGAAAACACTGAAAATGGACCTTTTGATTTATGCGTATACTGCAATGGCATGTATCACAAAGGCGACCCTTGATGATCCGTGGGAGATTCTCATACCTGAACACATGAAGCCCTGCATTGCACAACATATGCAGACAATGCATATACACACTGGCTCACTGCACCAACACATGAAGACAGTGCATATACACACTGGCTCACTGCACAACACATGTAGACAGTGCATATACACACTGGCTCACTGCACCAACACATGAAGACAGTGCATATACACACTGGCTCACTGCACAACACATGTAGACAGTGCATATACACACTCGCTCACTGCACCAACATATGCAGACAATGCATATACACACTGGCTCACTGCACAACACATGAAGACCATGCATATACACACTGGCTCACTGCACCAACACATGAAGACAGTGCATATACACACTGGCTCACTGCACCAACATATGCAGACAATGCATATACACACTGGCTCACTGCACAACACATGAAGACCATGCATATACACACTGGCTCACTGCAAAACACATGAAGACAATGCATATACACACTGGCTCACTGCACCAACACATGAAGACAGTGCATATACACACTGGCTCACTGCACCAACACATGAAGACAGTGCATATACACACTGGCTCACTGCACCAACACATGTAGACAATGCATATACGCACTGGCTCACTGCACCAACACATGCAGACAGTGCATATACACAATGGCTCACTGCACCAACACATGAAGACCATGCATATACACACTGGCTCACTGCACCAACACATGCAGACAGTGCATATACACAATGGCTCACTGCACCAACACATGAAGACCATGCATATACACACTGGCTCACTGCACCAACACATGCAGACAGTGCATATACACAATGGCTCACTGCACCAACACATGAAGACCATGCATATACACAATGGCTCACTGCACCAACACATGAAGACAGTGCATATACACACTGGCTCACTGCACCAACACATGAAGACAGTGCATATACACACTGGCTCACTGCACCAACACATGTAGACAGTGCATATACACACTGGCTCACTGCACCAACACATGAAGACAGTGCATATACACACTGGCTCACTGCACCAACACACAAGACAGTGCATATACACACTGGCTCACTGCACAACACATGAAGACAATGCATATACACACTGGCTCACTGCAGCAACACATGAAGACAGTGCATATACACACTGGCTCACTGCACAACACATGAAGACAGTACATATACACACTGGCTCACTGCAGCAACACATGAAGACAGTGCATATACACACTTACATTGCACCAACACACAAAGACAGTACATATACACACTGGCTCACTGCACCAACACATGAAGACAGTGCATATACACAATGGCTCATTGCACCAACACACGAAGACGGTGCATTCCATATGCACACTGTTACATTGCACCAACACACAAAGAGTGTGCATATGCACACATTACAATGTCTTGTTTTCTTGATACGAATCATCCCTATCTGAAAGAGCAGAACTGTCTTCTGCAACTATTTTATAAGTTCCCTAATTTTTTTCCATCAGCACTCATGGTCTCAACTGTCGGAAAGGTTTCTCTCTTCATGGCTGGCAAACCAAATAGTGAGCATATTCTCTTGCACATGGATATGGAAAGCAAACACCAAAAGGGCACTGTATTATTCTCCCAACAAAACTTAAACACCTCAATCGGGTCAGTTGCTACAGAACATAGTAAGGTAGATCGTCGTCTTTGGTTAATGCAAAAAGAACAAAGAACACAAGAGGTAAATATTCTGTGATGTATGTTTGTTGTTGAACGCCTCACTCAGCAGTATTCCAGCTATAGGTGGCGGTCTGAAAATACTCGAGTCTGGACCAGGCAATCCAGTGATTGATAACATGAGCATCTCTCCATGCAATAGGGATACAATGACATGCATCAACCAAGTTCTGTGATCATGGTGGTGTGGCAATGTTTAGTGATAGTATATTTACAAAGTGTAGAATGTAATTATGAATAAAAATAAGACTTAAATGTACTTCTATGAAAGTATGCAATTCTTAGGCAAAAGGTCAGACCATTCTTTTCCTGTTTTGCAGATGAAACTACCCTACAGTTTGGAAAGGTCAACATGACAAATAACTAAAAATACTCACTGAACATTACTGTTTAAAAATTGGATTATTTTTAAAGTTTTTTCATTACATCTTTAATTTCGGGGATTCTACCTAACCACTCATCAACCATGACAATTTTTATTGGTTTCTGCAGTCTCCCCCTCTTGTCCCCCTTTTCTCAGCATATTGACCCCATAATGATAAAATAAAACATCATAAACAACCTACATGTATCTGGCGTAATGATATGTTTCCTACCACATTGCCTTTCAAAAACACTGCAACATCTGAGATTGAAGAAAACAGTGTAGTCAGGTACAAGACCGAGATCACCTCCTACTAAGACCAGCTTGTGTTTCTCAATCTACACTATGACTGATTCACTGAAAGAGAAGGTGCATGTAAGTTTGGAAGAACCTGAACTACACTGCATCACAAAGAACCTGACCTACAGCTGCATCACAAAGAACCTGACCTACAGCTGCATCACAAAGAACCTGACCTACAGCTGCATCACAAAGAACCTGACCTACAGCTGCATCACAAAGAACCAACAGCTGCATCACAAAGAACCTGCCCTACATCACAAAGAACCTGACCTACAGCTGCATAACGATGGAGGTTTGAGGGTAAGGGATATTCCTTCAAGATCTCATAAACATTACCGGTAGTTTCCAGACATTCTTTATAGATCTTGCAGTTCAAACTTGGATCTTGAAAGCCAAAAGCACCTGGTAACAGAAGTGAATTGTTACGGAATTGTCTTGCATCCTCAGACAAATCTTGAGGATTCCTTATCATGCCTATTGTTTCATTTGACTAAATGTTATGAAACTTGATTACCTTAAAATACAGAAATCCTTAATCCCAATACATGTATTTTTTTCAGCTGCGTAATAATTTACTGATTGAAAAAGGTTCAAGGATACAAATGACCAAATTGATCTTGAATCCACGTTGAACTCTGGCCATTTGTGTTCCTAGTCAACTGTTTAAAGGGGAAGTGTACATGCAAAAATCACTTTTTATCTTTTTCTAAACAAAACGCAATTTTAGAATTAATTAGTATCTGTGTTTGAAAATATACACTCATTTTTTTCACAGTGAAAGTAGAAAGCTCACAATAGTGTGAAAATGATATGCCGTTATGAGGCCTTCGTTTTTCGAGCTAAACAGGCCTGAGTTATCCCCCTTAGATTATGACGTAATAGGTGCCAATTCAACTGGGTCCCTGTCTATTCTCAACGCAAAAGATATCAAGTACCAGTTTGCGGTAAAACAACATGGCCTACGACACATTCCGGCGCAGTGGTGACTCAGCATAACACTATGCTGGCTGGCATCTGAGACGCTAGAATCACACACCTGTACCTACATCACGTGAGGCGGCTCTAAACAAAGCATGATGACGTCATAATGTTTATCAATTGGCAGCAATGACGTCATATTGCAAGGGGCATAAGCCATGGTGTTTTTGTTGTGGAAATAGAACACTTGGTTAATGTGAAAAATATAAATCGATTTAATGTGAAAAATATGTTAATTAATTGTGATATTTTTATATTTTTGTCTTTGACACTTCTAGGTTAACACTTTTAATGTGGAAAAAGTACAAGAAAAATAGGTTCATTTCCGTGTGAACTTGCCCTTTAAACTCATATTGTTGCATTTAGTCAGACCTGTTACACCCAAGTCATGAAACAAATATATCACAATCACAATTCTTTTTCACAACAAATCTATTTTGTGTAGCAATTCACAAAATGAAAACAAGGCTCATATATTACTTTATCCTCATGATCACATTTAAGTAACCATGGTAACGAATTTCCATGCATGTCCATGACGTGATAGGAAAGAACACTGGGCTTGACACATCATGTATCCAGACTGCCAGTCAGTGCTAGCTTGTAGATCATCGGATGAGAAAGAATATTGCAACAAATTCAAAGCATAAATGTACTAAATAAACTTAGTGCATGATTTTATGATATAGGTGGGTCTAAATACAGTGAAACCCTGCTAATCTGGGTGCCATTGTACAAAACAACTTTAGCGCTACGGATGTCGTAAGTCTATTTAAGGTATGGGAGTAGTCTGTCATACAGACCCTGAAACAAATATATCCAATACAGCCCATGCAAGTCAATAATGTTTGGCAAGTCTAGATTACTGCAGTATCTGAAAATGAAGAAAGTCTCTGGACTCCTTATTAATTATAAATTATAATTTATAACCATAATTTAACAACTTTGACAAGATCACTTTGTACAACGTTACCCTGGTCTGTCGCCTTCACACTGAAATCGCCTTGATCAACAAATTTCTAGATTAAGGAATCACTGGAATATCCCACTGTAAGCATTTCCTGCAGCAATCTCCACAATGTGTGGTTTCTGGATTAACAGGGTCCAGACTAGCGAGGTTTCAGTGTTACATTTTGGTGTATCGGTGAATCTCTAAATCCTTTTCAGTCTTACCACACTACTTATCGCTTGACTCCGGGTTGGATTAATAACAATTAATAACATCTGTCCAACTGGAGCAAGCAGCACCAGTGGTGACCTGACCGACAGTAAGCAGCACTAAGCAGGATACTTGCTAACAAGGTGCAGTGTTAATGATGATAAACCCAAAACATAAAATCATAAAAAACAGTATTTGTGAACATTAAATTCTGGATTTTGTTCCAATACTTCAAATAAAAATGTGCTGTGATCTATAGACTGATGGAACAGGAAAATGTGACTATAAAAATTGGAATGGAAAATAAAGCGGCCCAACAAAGATGTATTTTGACTCTTGACTACCATAGGTAGGCATTGAGTAGCTCTGAGATCAACAATCTCAGGTCTCATACCATGGGTATCAAATGAATGCTCTTAAGTTTTGTATATTCTACATTCTGAACTACTAATTGATGGAAATATGCCTACAATAAAACCCAGAAAAGTCATGATAATGTGAGATAAGGTGATCTTGGTTTTGAAAAAAAGGGACAATTTATTGGGTCACGTCTCTGCATAATTAATAAGTATGTTGGCAAAAGAAACATTTATTATCATGATCATTATGTAAAGAATATTGCTGTTTCTTGTATTAGTCCATGTTGTCTGCATCCCACAACCACCCTCTATATAGACAGGACAAACATGGGATATGTGTAATGGAATTTCTGCAACAGGAATATTTAGCACTAACAATTTGTTATTTTCTACATATCATTTCAGTTGCATTATAGAAAATATTGCCAGTCATTAATGCTAATGTCAAATGAATCATTGCAAATGTGATAGTCAACACAGTTCCAATAGAATATGAGGCAAGTTGATATCCTAATCCAACTTAAACTTACCTGCATTTGCCATACGCATATATTTGTATAATACATATAAAAAAAACACCCCAAACACTGCCACTACACATATGTATGCATTGATATATATGCAATAATTCGTCAGCCTGAATATGAACCTTTAAATGAAATCATAACAAAAGCCACACAATTTGATCACTCTGAGAGAAGGTGCATTTCAGCCTTGAGTTTATAGGCCGGCCAGCGACACATGGGGCAGTAGTGGTGCCCCTTGTTCAGCCAGCGGACGATGCAGTCTTCATGGAAGGTGTGGAGGCAAGGCAGTCCACACAGCATCACACCGAACCTGTAGTCGTCCAGGCAGATCACGCACTGGGTCGCTGGGAGGAAGCCTTCAGGATAGTACGGATCGATCAGAGACTTGTCAGGACCGCTTAATTTACACGAACAGGTTAGTGTCTTTTCTGGATGGGGAGGATGTTGATTTGTTAGACTGTCGAGACTAGGTGGTGAAGAGACGTTCGGGGCGACTGTGTAATTGTCTAGTGTACCTTCAGAACAATTTTTAGCCACACTGTCGTTCTGGGTTGCTTTCTCGATTTCTTTATCGGGGCAGTCTATTGGTTTGCAGCAATCGCACACTTTACATGTGTCATCAATGGATGAAGGAAGCTTGCAGCGCCATCTTGGAAGATCAGGAATATATGTAAGGGAGATAACTGGCCGAACTGGATTGAATAAACGGCCCCCGAAAAAATTCATGCCAAGCTCTGAGGGTTGTAAACGGCCACTGAATGGATCCACAGGACGAATGAGATGTTCCAGTGTCCTCATTTCAGCAAAATTCCAGAAATTTTCATCCTCTTGTTCAGCTTCATCTTCTCCACCCTTCCGTTTATACTCGATAAATCCAACCAAAATCGTGTAGGCAATAAACACAGATGTGAGCACAGTTGAATGGAAAGTGTAAAACGACAGATCTTTTCTCATATGGGCAGCCATGTTGGTGGTGGAAAACATCCGCAGACATTTCAACAACCACAGAGGAACCTTATCGAGATGGGGCAACTGAAATATTCCTACAATGGGTAGCCACAACATAATGAGAATAACGTTACACTTAACGAAATACCACAAAAACCTTTTCAAGCGTTTATATATCGTTCCTTGCACGAGACATAATTCGAAAATCGACAATACATTGGTCATAATGAAACTAACAATGAATATGTCATTTAAGCAAGGGTATAATGTCTTGAAATAATTTTCCATGGCTGGGAACGAAAGATTTTCGCCATTCTTGGTGCCATACAGAACATTTTTTTCGGCTGTAATGATCATATAGGATGGTATAGCAGCTTTTGTTCTATTTCTCATGACCATGTATTTCATGACCTCTTTCCCACCTGATGATCCGGTGTCAACCATACCAAACTTTACCCTGCCCGGAAACTTCACACTGAGTGCGGAATAAAACATTGGTATGTTTTTCTGATTTGTAAAATAGACTGTCCGAATTTCGGGATTCAATAATGGATCTTTAAATTGGTACCATTCCTCAGCAAATTGTTTGGTGTGAGTAATTTTTTCAACTTTGCCGTCCAACTTTTCCCGGATCCAATTATACAGGAGGTTTGTCTTTGTGGGCCCTCCGTAGGTGTGAATGTGGACATTGGACTTGGCCTCAAACTCTCCTGGGAGTGCCAGCAGTAGTCGTGGGGTGTGCCAACCTTTGCTTTGACAGTATCTACAACATGAGAGCATACAACAATATATGTATCAGATAGCTACTCGATCAATCGCAAAGAACAATGAAGAACGAGGTGTGGTTTATTTCAGGATAAAACATTGTTCTATCACGGTGTCATTTCTGGAGATTCGAATATGCGCTTGTAACTTGATGTCGTCATGTATTAGATGACATTGTTTTTTAGAGGGAAGTGTCTAGTAAGTTGTTTAATGCGCCCCCGTGTTTTATTCCCCTTGCAGTGTTTGATGCGAACCCTCATGGTTTATTCTCAATGCAGTGTTTGATGCTCCCCGAGTGGTTTTGGCTAGCAATTTTTCAGGTAAATTTGCATTGCCATGGTTGACAGCAGGAAAACATTGATACGGTTGAACAACACTGTTCACAATAAAACTGGGTGCTGGGGTCCTTGAGGCCGGCTGCTATAGTACTTGAATCGAGGGACAGCTGAAGTACTTGAATCAAGGGATGCCTTGAGGCCGGCTGCTATAGTACTTGAATCAAGGGATGCCTTGAGGCCGGCTGCTATAGTACTTGAATCAAGGGATGCCTTGAGGCCGGCTGCTATAGTACTTGAATCAAGGGATACCTTGAGGCCGGCTGCTATAGTACTTGAATCAAGGGATACCTTGAGGCCGGCTCCCATAGTACTTGAATCAAGGGATGCCTTGAGGCCGGCTGCTATAGTACTTGAATCAAGGGATACCTTGAGGCCGGCTGCTATAGTACTTGAATCAAGGGATGCCTTGAGGCCGGCTGCTATAGTACTTGAATCAAGGGATACCTTGAGGCCGGCTGCTATAGTACTTGAATCAAGGGATACCTTGAGGCCGGCTGCTATAGTACTTGAATCAAGGGATGCCTTGAGGCCGGCTACTATAGTACTTGAATCAAGGGACAGCTAAAGTACTTGAATCAAGGGATGCCTTGAGGCCGGCTGCTATAGTACTTGAATCAAGGGATGCCTTGAGGCCAGCTGCTATAGTACTTGAATCAAGGGATGCCTTGAGGCCGGCTGCTATAGTACTTGAATCAAGGGATGCCTTGAGGCCGGCTGCTATAGTACTTGAATCAAGGGATGCCTTGAGGCCGGCTGCTATAGTACTTGAATCAAGGGATGCCTTGAGGCCAGCTGCTATAGTACTTGAATCAAGGGATACCTTGAGGCCGGCTGCTATAGTACTTGAATCAAGGGATGCCTTGAGGCCGGCTGCTATAGTACTTGAATCAAGGGACAGCTAAAGTACTTGAATCAAGGGATGCCTTGAGGCCGGCTGCTATAGTACTTGAATCAAGGGATACCTTGAGGCCGGCTGCTATAGTACTTGAATCAAGGGATGCCTTGAGGCCGGCTGCTATAGTACTTGAATCAAGGGATGCCTTGAGGCATGCTGCTATAGTACTTGAATCAAGGGATGCCTTGAGGCCGGCTGCTATAGTACTTGAATCAAGGGATGCCTTGAGGCCAGCTGCTATAGTACTTGAAACAAGGGATGCCTTGAGGCATGCTGCTGGAGTACTTGAATCAAGGGATGCCCTGATTCTTATACTCTTGATATTGGGGTTATGACAAGAAGCCCCTGACTTTCATGTTTAGTTTTAACCCTAGGCATTTTCACCATGTTCACAAGCCTGGCCTGACAGTATAGCATTGGTGCCATATGCTGCCAGTATGTTTCTAGGTTTGTCAGCACCATAGCCATGCTTGTGGGTTTCACCAAAGTGAGAAATGTCCAAGACCTGCATCCATTCCTCCCACATAACATGACATAACTAGAATACTGTTAAAAGTGGTGTCAAACCCAACTCAATCACAGGAACAGTATATATCAGTTAATCCTTGAAGATGTATCAGAGAAGCTCCCCAGGATGCTAGCATGGTTAGTGAGAGATGAGCGAGAGAGTCTTGTGTTAATGACACTTTCAACAGTGTTTCAGTTATATCAGGGATTATCAGCTTGATGTGTGGGGCCAAAGTGATCCAAGTCTTGGCCATTTATCACTCTAGTGAAGTCCATGAGAGGGGGTAAGGGAACTGACATATTTAGAAACATGATCGGAACAAACCAGGGTTCATACCCAAGATTACAGGTTTCTGGCCCAACGGATGCAACTCTGCACAGCAAATTGCATTGTTTTACACTGGGCCATCTGTTTTTATCTTATCAGTGAGAGATGACAATAAGTTGGATACCTTATGTCAAGTGAGCAGTCAAGTATTCCAGCGCGGACTCCGAATCGCGACACCTTTTTTCTGATGCTCTTCCAGCGTGAATCTCCGAGCAGGACTGGCGTTCCATGCTGATTGTGAACCTGGATCAACCAAACACTGTCCTTGGCATCCTCCACCTGCTCGAAGAAATGAGCTCCAGATGTGAAGTTGGTGACAGAGGACGAGTCCTCCTCACGAGCAGCGCTCACCACCTCCTCGTCTGTTACTGGACCTGAAAGTTAATTAAAATTGGTCAGGAACCATGGTTATGCCACAGCAGTCATGAAAATCATGACTGTTTTATTAAAAAGTTTATTATTGTTGGTCTACTGTCAAGTGAGTGAGGGAATGTCAACCTTTTTCCCGATTAGTAACTATTTTACCGGACCCCTGACAAAAAATATTTAGGTACATCAATAACACGATCTGGTCATGCATACACTTGACTGAAGTTTAATCTCTACTCAAACATATAAAAATCAAAAGTCAGAAAGATATGTATGTATATCGACTCGTAGGTAACCATGGAGTCATAGCAGGGAATTTTTCTCATTTAACAATATAACTTGACTAACCACGGGCCCGGGTAGTCCTGTGGGGCCCTGTGTCATGCTCAGTACCCACCAACCTCAGTTAGCCGTCCCAGCCCTAATTTTATCCATTATATATTTCAGAACAAGGGTCAGTTTACTTATCATTTCGGGTAAATATTTTACCATTCTAAACAAGCGGGCAAAGAGGGTGTTGGCATATTAATTAGTCCCCGGCGATATGTAGTTGCCAGTCAGCAGGCCTATGACAGTCACAGTGATAACACTGCATAGGGGAATTGGTCTTCAGCAACCCATGCTTGCCGTGAAAGGCGACTATGCTTGTCGTAAGAGGCGGCTAACAGGATCCATTGGCCAGGCTCAGTGACTGGGTTGTTGGTACTTCATCTACAATCTCATGGATATGGTCCATAAGACTGATCATTAATTTTCTGATCCTGACTTGATTATTTACACACTGCAAGCCCGTGAAGATCCGAGGTAGAATAGGTCTTCAGAAACCCATGCTTGCCCTAAAAGGTGACTATGCTTGTCGTAAGAGGCGACTAACGGAATCGGGTGGTCAGGCTCACTGACTTGGTTGATGCATGTCGTTGTATCCCAGTTGCGTGGATTGATGCTCATGATGTCAATCACTGAATTGTCTGGTCCAGATTATTTACAGACCGTAGTCATATAGCTGGAATATTGCTGAGTGTGATGTAAACGACATACAAACAAAGCATAGAGTAAATAAATATACAAACAACTTAGAAAATCATATTTTTTTGCAAACAGATCCGACATGATATATATAGGTGCTCACTGGCAAACACAGACGCTGCAACACATACCTGACCCCTCAACGAGCTCCGTGAGGTCGGATTTCTCAAGAACAACCCCTTCAAAGCCGACACCGCGCTGTTCCAACAACGCCTTTAGCTTCATCACTGACAAAGTCATGGGGTCCAACAACCGCTTTGATAGTGATCCGGTCTCATACCAGCTGATTGCTTCCAACATGCGAGCCAAGATGAACAGCACGACGATGTAGATTAACAGGAGACAAAGTTTCAGCCACATCTCGCCGTTTTGGTGTGGCTCTTCCACTTGCTCTCGACAAAACTAAATTTTGTTACGTCAGACAACTTTGACAGATCAGTGACACGTCAACCACAGCGATATAGGCTTGAATATCATGCTTGTCGGCGTTTACATCATTGTAAAAGTAGCATTTGGGGTTCCTGGTCTGTTCTGCTGTCTTATTGAACGGTTGTTAAAGTTCTCTTGAGACTTTTTGCCGTCTTATTCGTGTTTCTCCACCCGCTTCGCCCCAGAAGCTGTCGACCCCTGACCCTACCCAAGATGGCGGATGTAAATAATGCAATCACGTGACACAGGTGCTATACCATATACACCGACTATATTGTTTATATACCCCTGTTTGAAAAACAATATATTTACACATTTACGGAAATTAATACGCTACGCTATTAAAATTCAAACGTAGTGATGACCATAACGTTTGTGTATTTATCAAGCTCCACACAGCGATAGCCCGTTCCGGGTTGGGGGCCTTTTATGGTCAAAGGGAAATAACTCTTCAAAACTTGGATAAATTCCTATTTCGTTTGCGATATGAGTACCTAATGAATTAACGGTTCTATTCGCCGATCTAGACAAAAAAAGAAAACAATCTTTTTTTGTGAACGCACATATTTATTTTAATTGTGAATGTTTCAGAGTGTGCGAGATCGGTCAACACACCTTTCTAATTTTTTAGAAAATATATTTCTCGTTACTAATTTATATTTTAGAAGCCCCTTGCTGCTGTGCTCTTTTCAACTCGTTTTGTGAATTTATTTTTTATTATTCGTAAAAGGCTTTGGTTTGGTTAGTTGGTTTGTTGTTGAACGCCGCACTCAGCAATATTACAGCTATATGACGGCGGTCTGTAAATAATCGAGTCTGGACCAGACAATCCAGTGATTAATATCATGAGCATCGGTAATCCACGCAATTGGGATCGATGACATGCATCAACCAAGTCAGCGAGCCTGACCACCCGATCCCGTTAGTTGCCTTTTACGACAAGCATAGTCACCTTTTACGGCAAGCATGGGTTGCTGAAGACCTATTCTAACCCGGAATCGTAAAAGGCGACTATGGTTGTCGTAAGAGGCGACTAACGGGATCGGGTGGTCAGTCTTGCTTACTTCCTTGATACATGTCATCGTATCCCAATTCCGTGGATTACCGATACCAATTACCAATATGCATTTCTGGTGCGGAATATGTATCCGCAGTTTGCAAAATCCGTTGCAGACGACGCAAACGAGCCGAGTTACTTCCCTTTACCCAGTGCATGCGTATAAACATTGGTTTATTTTAGGTGGCTAACGGGATCGGGTGTCCAGGCTCGCTGACTTGATCGATGCATGTCATCATATCCCAATTGCGAAGATCAATGTTCATGACCTCAATCATTGGATTGTCTGGTCCAGGTCGACTCGATTATTTACAGGCAGACGTTATATAACTGGAATATTGCCGAGTGCGGCAGCTTGACTCCTGAGAGTTTCTAGGGCTTCGGTCCTGTAACACACTGAAGCACATGTTCCACATGTGGTGTCTCCTTTGGCATGTGACTTTGTTCGAAATGTGCCTCTGTTCACCCAGCAATGAGCGGGTACCCGGTAGGATGAGATGGTGGCTGTTAACCTTCTAGCGCCTCACAGGCAGCTTGGGTTGTATACTCCCCAGGGAGCTGAGAATGAAAATCGAGTGCTCACTGTAAGCGCCATGAGCACGCGAGCTGGTATGGAGTTTGGCGCCATACAAATGGACTCATTATTATTATTATTATTATTATTATTATTATTATTATTAATAGTCTGACGAAATACATGTTGTTAATCATGCGACAATATCGTTAATAGTTTTGGAAACATTTCTTTCAGTATCTGATATCATTTCGTATCCTATGCACACCCGCCTGCTGGATCTAACGCTCACAAACCATAGATATGACTGTATTGCCCAACACGTATGGCCTATTTATAGACACTCCACTCAAACACTTGCATACACCCACAGACAGCCCAAATGCCGTCATTGATGGGTAAATCCAAGTGAACTTTCGGTTTGCCAAATCAAAGCAAAGGCGCGTTATCTACTGTCTGCCATCCAGCCTTCTCGCTCTGCAATTCCTGTATATGTAAACTGTGTCAATCGATGCTTGACACTACAGCGAAATGGCCCATCTCTTGATGAGTTAGAGAGGGAGTGAATTGGGTTTGACCCTACTTTGAACAGTATCCATTGTCAGCCGACAAGGTGAGTATGTCACTGGAGTTTCCATAATTTCTATTGGGGCTGGGAAGGGTAACTCGGGTACTCGGGTACTCGGGTAGGTGGGTACCGGGTAGGACCCAGGTACCCACACATCTACCTGGACCCGTGGATAGTCCAGTGATGTATATACGTACTGTTTAATGGCATTTACAATAAATCTCCATGGTTACACTACAAGTATAGCTAATGCTCACATATCTTTCTGACTATGACAAGCATTCGTTGTGGTTGTTTGGTTGGTTGGTTTGTTGTTGAACGTGATTTTTATATGTTTGAGTAAGGATAAAACGTCTATCAACTTCCGCGTATCCATGATGAGATCATTTTATACATGAATCTAAATAGCTTTTGTCAGGGCTGCGATAAAACATTTCGTACCCAACTCGGGTAGGACCGGGTAACAGGGTGTTGGGTACACGTGTAGTAAATTTGCCCCCCCCCCCCCCCCCCCCCCCCCCCCCCCCTCCCTCTCTCTCTATATATATACACTTTTGAGTGTTAACGTTTGAACGTTGGCCTGTCACGATATGCAGTGTTATTGTTGACAGACATATTTATTTCCTGAATGCACGCAGGGCTTCTAAAGCGTTTTGAACCTTGATTTGACCTAGATAACGGAAACACACGAGTGTTCACGAATGCGAGCTCCCCCGAAATGCTGAATTCCGGGAAAGCTGCTTGTCGACACGCCAAACAAACCCAAGCTAAAGGACATTGTATCTCTCGTCGCCTGGTGTGTGCGATTATGTCTCGCGACACTGTCACGCCCTACTGCTCTGCATGACCCGGTGTTTTGTTTGTTTGTTGTTTAACGCCGCACTCAGCAATATTCAAGCTATATGACGGCGGTCCGATTAGCATACACGTGTGTGTGGCTGCTTGTACTAGTCCGGACTGATGCCGATTTATAGTGCTAGCTCACTGAGATACCATGCCGCAGTTTAACATGAATACCCCACTCAGATACAGTATACTGACTCCGAGCCGACCAGTCCTTGTTTTAGCCCCTTAATGCCCAGCGCCAGACAGGGTAACAACAAGTACCATCTTTTAACGTCTTTTGGTATGACGCGGCCAGGGATCGAACACCGGACCTTCCGCTCTCCGGGCGGACGCTCTACCACTAGACCACGGAGGCAGTCCACTTACCCGATAGGATCATACACACACGTGGGAGAGGGTGACATATCTTTCAGCGCAGCATTCTCGGGGAAACTAGGCTGTATCCTTCGGAGAGATGTGGCACGCCCTTGGTTATGTTATGCTCTCGGGAGAATTGGTTTCCATATCAGTGATCAGACTTTGTCACCGTGACCCCTAAACACAGCTTTTCATAAATCATATATGCAACCGAAGTACTCTCGTTACCTGTTGTGTGCGACTATCTTTCGTAATACTGCCACGCACAGCTCAGTGTTCGTATACGGTAAGTCCTGTTAAACCGCTCTGCATAACCCGTGTGTTGTTTGTTGTTAAACGCCGCACTCAGCAATATTCCAGCTATTTGCGGGGCGGTCGGGTAGCCTAGTGGTTAAAGCGTTCGCTTGTCACGCCGAAGACCCGGGTTCGATTCATGACATGGGTACAATGTGTGAAGCCCGTTTCTGGTGTGCCCCGCCGTGATATTGCTGGAATATTGCTAAAAGCGGCGTAAAACCATACTCACTCACTCCAGCTATTTGACGGCGGCCTGCAAATAATGACCCCCAAATCCTTCTTTCCCATGCAACCCGCGAAAATCCATCCAAATAGATTTCATTGAATAAATACACGAAGCCATTTTGAGTTAAAGAATCAATCAGGTGGCAGATACACATTTTTGAAACGTTCATATTTCTTATTGAAATTAATAATTCATCACTCTTATCGTTCCCTATTGATCAATAGCTGTATGCAAATTTGCAAAGCAATCTGTTTCCTTACATCTGCAACTAGGTGAAGTGAAATGGGGTTTAACATCGCGTCCAAGATTATTGCACTTATATAGCGACGCCCATGCACGTGTATGTGTGTGTGTGGCTGCTTGTATTAGTCCGGACTGAAGCCAATTTATAGTGCTAGCTCACTGAGGTACCATGCCGCAGTTTAACATGAATACCCCACTCAGACATAGTATACTGACTCCGAGCCGACCAGTCCTTGTTTTAGCCCCTTATGCCCAGCGCCAGACAAGGTAACAACAAGTACCATCTTTTAACGTCTTTTGGTATGACGCGGCTGGGGATCGAACCCCGGACCTTCCGCTCCCCGGGCGGACGCTCTACCATTAGACCACTGAGGCGGTTACTTCTGCAACTAAATATACTCAGTCTGTTAGAAAGAGGAACGCGTATCACATAAACAAAAGGGAAGGAAAACAAATATACAGCACATCTATGAGTAATACATTTTGCATATCTTCCGTGAACACCATAATCGTCAAGTGTTTTCTGACACCTCGTGTCCAAATCTTCCCGATTATAACAATGTAAAATAAATATATGTTAATTTTTATCTTTTTTTCCCTGCCCTGTTATGGATTTATGAACGTGTTTTTCGTTTGATTGTTCGTGTTCTAATAACAAAACATGGCTGTCAAATATTAATCTATTCCATTATGCTATTTACATTAAAATCATAATGTTTTGTGAAACCTTGCATTGTGCAAACTGTCGCTTGGTTGCATTGATCTTCATACACGTTCGCTGTTATTTGTTTATCGCATTGTGTCATTGTTTAGCAATATTGGTGTGTGGCATTCAATAAACATGATAAAAGCCCTTGTAATGGATTGTTTGTTATGGAACAATCTTCACTTTTGACTGAACTCTAATTGCCAAAAGGCCAGATACAATTAAGGAAGAGAATATATAGATGCATCTTCCCGCGGCAAGAGAGTTAACTGACTATGACTGTCCAGTTTCCACCCTTGCCGAACTAGGCTGGAATTTTGGAGTTACATTTTGGCTAGATTAACGAGTCTATGCATAGTCCAATCAAAATCGCATAACGCATCCGGTTCGTAAACTGCCGTGCAGATTTGGGTCGATTGCAGGATTTCCAGAGCATGCGCACCGTCAATATGCCGTTAACAGACATTTTTCCAAATCGTGTCATGTTTTTAATCAAGATGCTCACGTGATTTGATGCACTTCGCAAAAGAGACAAGTTTTATAACACTATAGATATTGATTTTCGATCAGATTGTCTTCACTGGGAACCGTTGCACACGTTTGGGAATCGACTTCCGGTATAGTGCAAGCTGGTGCAGCAGCTGTGTCAGTAATTCAGGACGCTAGAGTCTCCCCACATCATTACGCTGCCACCGCCACAACTGTCGACCTTTTGTATGCAGTTGGCGGTGAAGTGTTCAATGCGACGTCAGAACACAATGTCAGCAACCTATGTTGGACGTAAAGGCGACCAGTGGATCTGATGCCCATACTTGGTTGAAAGCGTGTCACTGTGCCCAGTGTAGTAATTTTAACTGGATTGGTTCTGACTCGCATATTCACAACCCGTCAACTTCGTCATATAGCTGGAATATTGCTGAGTGCGTAAAACAACAAACACACAAACACAAAACAAAATACATTGACTCGTTGCTGAACCAAATTGCTCCCCATACCCGGTTTGGCCATAGTCTGCGTGCCTGACATAGTCAAAACAACACATCTGACATGCCGTTATGAAGGCGGTTCCACTCTGTCTGGTCAGAATTCCTTTGCAATCCTGGAATTGGTGCTGTTGTACACCTATTCTGAAAATGACGTTGCCGTATGAAACCGTCACGGACAGCTTTTGTACACGGGCCTCACCTAAATCGGCCACAAGTAAATATGGTTTTACGCCGCTTTCAGCAATATTACAGCAATATCACTCCTGGGGACACCAAAAATGGGTTCGACACACTTTACCCACATGGGGAATCGAACGCTTCAACCACTAGTCCACCCCACCGCCCCTCGATCGGTCACGTGACGTAGCGTTGGGACTTTTACCCTAAAGGTCCTACACTATGATTCTGCATGCTCAAAACTCTAAAAAAAAGTGTGAATCTTGCTGATTCAAATCTTGAAGGTTACATCAGAATTATAACCAAAATTGCAGGAATCGTATCTGTATTTTTCATATTATTATGTAATAACGGCAACATCACCACAATTTACATAATAAAAATCCCATGCAGCAATATCTAAATCAAGATATTGGTCGGACTGACGAGCCCACACGTCGCCATTATCTTTTCCCCTTTGCATCTGCGGTAGACGGTGCCAGCCATATCCATAGTCATAAGAAATCTCTGCTAAAAGCAGAGTCCTTTGGTACAAGTGGAAATAGGGTATTGCATCGGACATCATTGTGGTCACTGATACGCCAAATTTAGAAATGTCCTCCATATGTGTACCATAATTTAAAAAAAGCCTCACTAAGGCCTTGCAGGATTTAACCCTGATCAAACAGCGTTTGAGCATTAATCATATGACGCTCTTTGAAATCTTCGTTGAAAGAGCATGGTCGATTGTACCTAAAAAATTGAGGAATGTAGACACCTTTGGCTGGAGTGGCAGGAATAGTGCTCGACATGAAGGGAAAGTTGGCTATTGGAAAATTGAAGTAAACCCTCTTGAGTATAGGAAATAGATGAGGCGTTTCATTGGTCTCCTATTTCTATGTCAGATCGGTAAATCAGTTGAATGGAATTTGCCATTTGACTATTCATATCAGATCATTGGTATACCTGAACCTTATAAGTTAAACGTCTTGGCCAAATGCCATGTTTTGATTTTGCCAGTCCGAGCGGGTATTCCTCTTCTTATGCATAAAGTAACAGATCAGCAAGAAGTGGAGCACATTCTTTCCTCTGTAAACTTCAGATGATATCAGAAAGATGTAACTATATCTATGGGCAGCTCATTTTGAGCCGCAGTTTTTCTTTTATTTTGTCATGTGGGATCGTAACGTACGACGTTGTAAAAGCAATTGTTTTGAAATGAATGAAGTTGGTTCTTTTCTCAGATTCCAAATATTCAGCAATATATCGGCAATATATCTCTTCCTTTTTAATGGACTTTGGATGCCAGTACAGAATAAGAATGGGTATGTCTTCAGGTTTTAGAGTTTTTAAGATACGGTTAGTTTGTCCAAAATAAATTGTTCCACTCCTTTCCGAGGACAAAATCTTTCTTGAAGCTGTGACTGAAAGAATATTCAGTCTGTATACAAATCTAACTGTATTTTTGAACCAGCAGGTGTTGTGGCCACAATGTCTGACAACATGAGTGCCTCTGTAGCAAGCTACCTCAGCCTTGGGAGAGACCCGCTATCCCAGCTCAGTTCTTTGGTGACGCGTACAGTGGAGGGGGGATTTGAATTGACCAGCCTATCTCATGATGAGCAGTTTAGCTCGCTCACATCAGATGATGACCTCATTATTCTTGATGAGTGAGTGAGTGAGTGAGTTTGGTTTAACGCCGCTTTTAACATTATTCCAGTTATATCACGGCGTGTCAGCTTAATGTGGGAGGAAAGCCCGAAGTGATGCAGGTCTCGGACGTTTACCACTTCGGTGAAACCCACGAGCACGGGTATGGTGCTGACAAACCTAGAAACATAATCAGGGCGAACCGGGATTCGAACCCACGATCATAGGTTTCTGGCGTGCCCAAGGGACGCAACTCTGCACAGCGAATCGCGGCGCCTTAGACGACTGGGCCACCCGTGCCCCCTATTCTTGATGAAGAGGATGACCTGGATGATCGTCAGTACTATCTAATGATGCCAGATTACCACAAATGCACTGTTTAATTTCATGGTAAGCCAAATGTAGTACAGTGTCAGGAATATAGTCTATGTACGTGTAGACAAGAGGGAGAATAGTCCACCGTATGATATGCCTTTGTTAAATTTTTTCTAAACCAATGCTTAGAAACATACAAACATCTCAGGGTGGTGGGGTATCCTAGAGTTTAAGCTCGTCACGCCGAAGACCCGGGTTCAATTCCCCACATTGGTATAATGTGTGAAGCCCATTTCTGGTGTCCCCCACCGTGATATTGCTGGAATATTGCTAAAAGCAGCGTAAAACCATACTCACTATAAACATCCCAAACTGACATGATCATTTATTCTGTTTCACTCAAAGACTGTGGAAGCCTCAAATATTCTTTCAGAGCAACAGCTGACGATTGAAAGGGCGTCGATAAACGCCTCAGTTTGCACAGACTCGGTACAACCATTGTTGTCTTCTGTAACTGCATCTGTCAGAAATGTGGGCAACAAAAACGACACAGTACAAACCAGTCATCCGATACCTCTTTCACCAATACAACAGCAATATCTCCAAGACAGAGACACAGCCAGGCAAACTCTGTGTTATCAACTGGAAACGAAAGGGTTCAAGGCAACATTTCGTTTTCAACAACGTGAGGTTGACATTGAGTCCCGAAGAGAAAAGAAACACAAAGAAGCTCTGGATGTCATTGCCAGCTCGGTCGTAGAGATGGAACTAAATTTCAGCAGTGGTGAATTGGAACAGATGTCTCAAGTGGCTGGTATCCCGGATGGGGAGGTCATTCTGCCACAGTTGTCCAGTGATCAGGACGTGCTTGCCGTAATTGATAAGACCAACGGAAGTATGAAGCTTGTTGGTATGGCAGACACCATCAAGGCACTGAAAGAAACCATTAATAAATCACAGGAACTGTTGGACACCAGACACAAGAACCAAGAAGAACAAGGTTCACAAAGCACATCTGCATCAATCCCAGGAGATACTGAACAACGCGGCGCATCTGCTCAAGTACAGGCATCGCTGTACCCAAGTATATCCAACCATCCATGGGAAGAAAACCCAGCTATTGACATTGCTCCGATTACTAACTTCGTGCGCGTTGATGACGACAGTCTGGATTATTTATGCCAGTACAAGGGGAATGAGATGCGGATGATTGGAGAGGAGGAGGGTGTGGCCATCTGTGAAACCGCACACGGGTACGAGGTTAAAGGTCCTGCTGCAGCCAATCAAAGAGCCGTCATCAAATTGCGTAATCATGTTGAAGGAGTGAAATGCAACAAGTTTACTTTTGAAACTGCAGTCAACATGGGGAATTTTGCTGAAGCCACTGGGAACGCCAGCAAGAACCATAACTGTATTATTGGGTACAAACAGACGATTGGTACAACCAGAGGCAGGGCGAGACAACAGCCCCCAGTACTGGAATCTTCCACCACAGGTCAGAGCACTGAATGTTGTCCTCAGAACTACATGAAATTTGAAAAGTCAACGCCAAAGACTAATCTTGAGCCAAAAAATAATGTGCCGAAACAGATTGAAAGGCAAAATAGTAGTGAAAAGTATATAAATGGATAACTTCTTTGAGAGGCATTTAGTTGGAGTACTAAGTAAGGATAAGATTTATGGATCACTTGCTTGATAACGGTGTTAGAACCTACTCGGAAACGTCGCTCCTAATTGTAATAAGAAAGTTGTCCATCTATAAATATTATCCTTACTTCTATATGAATGGGTGACTGAAAATTTGCAAGAAGTTACAATATTTATATGCATCAATAGTTGTATACCATGCACTCTACTCGTTCATCATAGTGACGCATTTGACCTTGGGTTAGGAAGAAGGGTTGGAAAGATTCAATGACAACAATCATACAATTGAAAGGATTCATTGCTTCGATTAAATACATGAAGTGTGTGAACGTTGAAATCTTTTCTTACTGAGGTATGATAAAACATAATGAATCTTGTGTTATGTATGCTTTCAGGAAAACAAAAAGCCAAAGTTACCGTGGTCCTGAATAGGATAGAGAATCAGAATGTAAGCATTTTTCAGCCTTATACGTATCAATTTCCTTCACGATTACCCCCACTTCATCAACATTAAACAAGTACAGTATCAACCACATATACCAAATATCATAATAATATTGCCAGAGATAAGTGAATCTTCAACTCTACAAAGGATTAAAATGAAGAAGTATAGTAGAGAGGACTGTCTATGTATTGATACCTATGATGGTATTACTGTCTGTCCGCCTGTCATGGAATACGGAGGAAAAGTAAGTATTATTTAAATGCATTTATATCAACCAGATTTATGAAAGGCCGGAACGTTTTCGATTTTAATATTTTGTTGAACATTTACAAAAGTTAACTGCTCATGATATTCAATGTTGATAAAGTAGTTCAGGCTGGACGTATAATGTGTTCCCTAGTTAGACTTCACGTGAACAATTTACTTGTCTTTGCATGTGTTTGTGATCAGTGGGACAGGATACGTTCACCTTTTCCCAAAACACCTGGTGTCATCACAATTTTATAGTAATAAATAAACACATGCTATGGTAGTGTCGGAAATATGCAATCACCTCTGCTTTAAGGAACGATTTATGATGAATATGTCGCTTCCATTTATCAGCATCATGCTTATTTTGTACAGGCGAATGTGATTGTGAATACCACAAACAAGGAGCTGAAGTTAAGTGAAGGACGGGGTGTGTCCTATAGCCTGGTACAGGAGGCAGGGGAGGACATCCAGCAGGTTCTGACGGACATCTACCCTCACGGAATGACCTATGGTGACCTGGCAGTGAGCCACTGTGGACGTCTCACAAATTGTGAGAAGATCTACCATGGCGCCCTTCCATATCACACCGGAAACACTGAGACTATGGCCCTCTTCAAGTGTTACGAGGTAAGTGAAAGTACGAAGTCTAGGCTTCAGCATATAACGCCAGTCTTGCTTAGGCAAAGATTTCTGTTGAATAAGGAGAATATGTTATAGCTGAACGTCACTTTATCACTGTGACAGCAAACAGTAATGTGACAGGCAACAAACACTTACTCATTTATGCAAAAGGTTGGCTTAACGGGTGCGCCTGGTAGGGCAGGACATGCGTACACCTTTCGCGAACACCTGGGCCCACTTGCACAAAGCGATCTTAGCGCTAAGACTATTGTAAGCCTATGTTAAAGTATGGGAGTTACGATCATCTTAGCGCTAAGATCGCTTTGTGCAAGTGGGCCCTGGTGTCATCACTGATTTTCAGTGATCCATTCATATCATTTTCACTGCAACTTTGCGATTTACGCCAATGGAATCTGTTACGGACGCTGGTTATTCTCTGGCGTTGAATAATCTTATATTAATTATACTTAATGAAAACTGCAAGGGTTGCATTTTATGAAAGCTCAGACTGTCATCACTACCGATCCAATCTTAAAACACTTCTTGTAAAGCTTACCCATGTCTATTATTTTAGGTAACTCGTGACATAATTATAGTAAAATAAGGAAATGTAAATATATGCTGAGATAAATGAAAGTTAAGTAGAAGACAATATAGAACATAATGCACATTGTAAGTTGTCCAATGGTCTCAAGGAGGACATGGGTTGATGCCCCCTCTATGCTAGTTTATGTTCTGCAGACATAGAGGGGTTCATCAACCCAGGTCACACGAGGGACTGGTGGACAACGAATATATCAAAATGCTTTGTTGAAATTTCAAGATACATTAGTTGAAATTTCAAGATAATAAGTTAACATTTCAAGATAATAACTTGAAATTTCAACTTATCATGAAATCTCAAGATCATTATGTGAAATTTAAACTTTGTACCTTGATAATTCTAGTTAGAATCTTGAAATTTCATCTTAGTATCTTGAAATTTCAAGAAAAAAATAAATTAAAAAACGGCTTCCGTCAGCTCATGATCCTTCGACCTTCGGGCTTGGGATTCGAGAAACATAAAATAACACAGAGGGTACATCAGCCCTTGTCACCCGAGACACCAGATGACAACACATTTATCTCACCGCACACCCAGTTGTATTGCAGGTATGTCTTATGCAGGCATGCTGTGGTCAGAATCGGTAAGAATACCACAGTTAGGCATGAATCCACTTCGTTCACATTCATCGACAAAAAGCAGACGATAGAAAACAAACTTAGAGTTATTTCCATCGTATCTATTTCATGATCATTCGGAAAATATCGTAAATATCCGGACAATGGCGCCTTTAATTATCAATTCGAGATATAAAATTTCGGTTAGGTAGCGGGGAACATAAGAAAAATACCTTGCCTTAGTGGGGGCCATTGAAAATTATAGACTGGGTTTCAGCCAATCAGTATCCGACATTCATGTTTGTTCGCTATCAATGTATGTGCAAGAAAATATTAAACTTGGTTATGGCCCCTGTGCAGAGCTGCGCCCCTTAGGTATGCGCAAAACTTGTAATTGTGGGTTCAAATACAGATTCGCCAAGATTATGATTGTTGCTTTGACAGCACCCTACCACACTCGTGGTAACTGTCTGCGCCACCTCGAGCCGTCCTCCCCTGCTAGGCTGATGGGTAGTGATAAAGGACATATTGTTCAAAGCGACTCAAAAACCCAAATCAAACTCAGTGGCGATGGTCGAATTGTCTTTTTTAGAACAGAATCTGTGTCGTCGGTAGGGCTGGGACAGGTCAAAATTTACTACCCGGGTACCTGGCCCCCTATTAACCGACCCTACCCGGGTACCAACTGCAGGTCTCGAGAGGAACAAAATGTCTGATTGGAAAATGTTTTACCGCAGCCCTGGCCAGAACTATTTAGATACATGTATCAAACAATCAGATAATGCGTTGACTGAAGTTGACTGAAGGTATATCTGTACTTAAAAAATATACAAGTCAAAAGGAATGTGTGCATCGTCAGAAAGAAATGCGAACATTAGCGACTTGTAGTGTAACCACTGAGCTATAGTAGTCCTGTGGGTCCCCGATTCCTACTCAGTACCCACCCGACCCGAGTACCCGAGCTACCCGTCCCAGCCCTAGTCGTCGGGTGATTGGGGATGGTTGTGGGTGTTTCATATTTAAGTCATTGAGGCGACCATGTGGCCCAGTCGTCCTTGGCGCCGCAATTCTCTGAGTAGAGTTGTTCCTCTTGGGCAAACCAGAAGCCTATGATCGTAGGTTCTAATCCTGGTTGGCCCTGCTTATATTTCTTGGTTTGTCACCACTTTGACCCAGATGATAAAAATACTTTTTGTTTATATGGATATGTTCCTCCCCAGTGGCTGGTGTCTCTGGTGTTCCGATGTCTCATCCAGGCCTGCAAGGATGGATTTCAGACAATTGCTCTGCCAGCATTCGGCACAGGAGCCCTACAGTATCCTACCAAGAACGTTGTACAACTCATGTATCATGCCATTGATCTGTTCACCCAAGACGAAAGAGCGGGATCTCTGAAAGAGATTTTCATAGTTATCTCCCGTGAATCAAGACTGGAAGTGAAACAGGTAAGTGCTATTTGTAAATGCAGTCCAGAAGACAGCCGTCAATGAAACAACACCCTCCTACTTGGGGGCTCACCATTCATATTCTGAGAATTAATTATGTTGTTGAAAAACAACAACATATGAACCGTTCACTGGACATGTTGGATCCTTTTGAAAATAATGTTTTGTTGGGTCAAAACAGATATGTTGGCTCACCCTTTCAGAGATAATGATTGTTTGTCTTGAGGCTCTGAGTGAAAAATGTCTCAATGTTTCAAAGACATCCCCCATTGGCACATAGTATAATCATTAACTATGAGACACTAACATTATTAAAAGCTGTGTTGTTCAAATGAAATATCAAAGTCAAAGGAATAACTATTTCCTCCCTGGCATCACATTATGTTATTATAGAAGCGACATGTCCATATTCCAAAGAAATCTCTACTCAAAGTCGCTATACGATTCCGATCATACCATGAGCATGTGTTTATGAATCAAATGTTCTTTGCTAGAATGTGTCTTTATGAATGTGATACAATGAAATTCCATACTCTGGTAGAAAGTCACCTTTTGGATATGTAGCGTCTGCGAAGGCTAACTTTGCATGTATTTTCACCTCTCATTGCAGCTGTTTCTTGCGCATCGTCTCTCCCATAAGCTCAAGACAAGGCACTTGGCTAACCCCAGAGGTGAGGTGGCAGTATTTGCCAGTGTGTGGTGTGAGGTATAGACATAGGGGAGACATCCCTACGGTATCAATAATAGGTATTCCACACTCTCAGTGGTTTTGTTTCCGCCAATCGGACATCTCTCTGAGTCGATGTTCCTCCCAAACCAAGGAACGACGGGGGTAGCCAAGTGGATAAAGCGTTGACTAATCACGCCGAAGACCCGTGTTCGAGTCCCTGCATGAGTACAATTTAAACCCATTCCGAGTCATATATGATCCTGAATAACGTTCCGCTAGCACCACAAAGGTACAATATACCTTGACGATCAGGTGCAATGGTATTAATGGTATGTTAGATTTAAACATTAAATTGCAATATCTGACTTAAACGTGGAATCACTGTAAGATTTCGACCTCATTTCACCTTTCATTGTCAACCAAATTTAACGTCATTTCAACGTTGAAAAGCGACGTTATTTCAATGTTGATACAACGTGGCCGTGCCTGCTGGGGTATTTCTTTTGTACTGCGAAATGCAATGACGACAAGCCTCGGACTTACATGACTTTAATACACTTTTTTTTTATAAATTTGATAGCACAGGCTCTTGAATCTCAGCCGTGTTATGACACTTATTGTTGGTTCGTTTGTTGTTTAACGCCGCACTCAGCAATATTCCAGCTTTTTGACGGCGGTCTGTAAATAATCGAGTCTGGCCCAGACAATCCAGGCTGTTGGGATACGATGACATGCATGAACCAAGTCAGCGAGCCTGACCAACTGATCCCGTTAGTCGCCTTTCCCGACAAGCATAGTCACCTTTTACGGCAAGCATGGGTTTCTGAAGACCTATTCTACCCCGAATATTCGTTAACTCTGTTTCAGGACAAACATCTTACTTATCACACATGTTTCGATTGTGGTTTGGCACGGGACAGGATTTCGGTTTACCTGCCTATTTATCACAAGGTACGATTTTATATTAAACATTAATCATCACTGTCATCTGTTTTATTTTCATTTCAACAGTTATACCTACGAGGGGCGTTCAATAAGTTTTGCAACTTCAACATGAGACCAAATCGCAGAATATCTTTTGCACTTTTACTTTTTCAATACACCTCAATACACTTATTCCATTTGTCCTTCGGGCTCTTACTACTTTTATAGAAATCCGCAGATTGGCCCTCTAACCACGCCTCTATGGCAGCCTTTATGTCCTCGTCATCCTAGAAGCGTCTTCCACGTAGGGCAGATTTCATTTGCCGGAACAGGAAATAGTCACTGGGGGCTAAGCCTGGGCTGTAGGATGGGTGATTTAACTGTTCGAATCCTCATTCAAATATGGCGGCCTGTGCAATTCTCGACTTGTCATGCAAAAGTAGAATACCACGTGTTGACATCCAACGGCGTTTCTAGAGAATAGATTTCGCAATTCTTTCATTACATTAGCATAATACTGTCCATTGATTGTAGTTTTGGGTGGCATGTGATCAATCACTAATATGCCTCTTGCATCCCAAAATATGGTGGCCATTACCTTGCCAGCCGATGGCTGAGTGCGAAACCTCCTCGGAGGCGGAGAATTGGGGTGCTTCCATTGCATGGATTCCAATTTAGTTTCTAGGTTCATGTGGTGGATCCATGTTTTATTACCTGTCACCAGACGAGAAAGAAATCCGGCTTCATCTGCAGTATAGAGATCCGGGAGGTCTTGCAGATACCTTGGACATACCAAGATGCTCATGAATAATGGTTACAACAGTTCATACTGTTATTTGGAATCCCCGAAAAAAGTTTAGGATACTTTCACTCGTCGGTCAGACAAAATTCTTCTTCTATAGCAGCAATGGTTTCCGGCTGGGTGGCATCTGAAGGCCTGCCTGACCTTGGGTCATCGTCTATGGACTCCCTACCCCTTTTAAACTGTAGAGACCAACGGCAAAATGTGGAATAGTCAGGAGTATCCTTACCCATCTCTTTACACTTGCGATCATAGACTTTTTTTGCTTTGCATCCCTCCTTGGTAAGGAACTTTATTACAGCGCGTTGTTCATGTTTGGGAGAATTCATGATTGTGACCACCCTTAGGTGAATGAAGGCATCACATCTAACGTATTGTTGTGCCTGGAACTTGTTATGACACGTGTCAACCTAATGTTATGACTAGTGTCACACCTGCCTCAAGTTGACATTGTTTGTGTAAACACAAATGTCCAAGTTGCAAAACTTATTGAACGCCCCTCGTATATCTAAATTGAAATGTGTGTATATTGCTAGAAGCGCTGTAAATCCATTATAAATGACATATCCACTCACTCAAATGTGCATCTATCACTACAAAATATACATCTATCGTAATTATCGTAAATATACGCAGCTATTCACAATCTCATCTGTTGCAAACAAATTGATCATATCTACAATGAGACCTTGTTAATCGGGAAACCCCTTCTTCCAAACGAGCACTGCAGGGAACGTATATACACATACACAGAACTACTACTTTGAACCCTTGATTCAGTTATCCAGAAATTTATAAATCCGGACGATTTTAAAAGGAATGATTCTGAGGTTACAATATTTCTACATTTGACCACAACATCTGTACGCAATGACGACATGTCATCGCCTAATAGTATTTGTATTATGAAATGTAAGTTAATATGTTTGTGCGTCTTATATAATAAGATACTTGATTAACCATATGTGTTGCTGTGTGATGCAGAGATACAGAACTCGCCCAAATGTGAGGTTAGGATCATGGTCGCCGACACGCTTGTCCAGGCCATCAACGGAGGTGTTGTGGAGGCGTGTGATGTCACAGGCGCAGTGCTCTTGATCTGGAGAATGGAAGATATTACGAGTATGTGAATTAAGTGCAATATTAATGTACAATTTATTTTTCCGGAGAATGTGAAGACTCCCCAACACTGCAGTCCTCTGCATTACCCAGATTGTCAAAAGGGCTGCATTCCTGGTAGCTAACCCGAGTACTCTCCCAATGTCAGTCAACAGATTGGGAGGTACCAAACCTAAGGCATCAAGAACAATGGGACAACTTGGTGCTTGAGATGCAAGCGTGACATTTCGAAAGCGAGGTCCGCATATTTGCCATGTTTTTCCTGAATTTTCTCAATCACATTAGTGTCAAAAGGGACAGAAATTTCAATACTATAAATGATTTAATTGGATTTATCAAAAGGGACAAGATCAGGTTTGTTGGCCTGGATACGTCTGAGGCTGTATACGGGCGTATTTCAAAGCATTTTGTATTTATCATTGAGGCGTGTCAAGCATGGCGATAACAGTAATAAAAGGATCGAGCCATTCGATCATGTCTCTTAAGATACTGTATTTGTGCCAAAGCTGGGCATCCACTGACAATGTGTTGACAGTCTCATTAAATTCATTGTAAAATCTTCATTTAATAGTTACATTTTGAGGCAAAATCACACATTGACGCTTTCGAGTGGGAAGTGACTGGTCCTGAGACGCACACTAAAGCAGTGGTCGTTCAGATAGCCTCTCCTAGAAAAATGGAACTGATTTGATATGGCACTTCGCTTGATTGACTCTCATTTCTGTACCGTCCAGCAGAACATATTTCCCACATCCTCAGCTCGTTTAAGAAAACTGTGAAATACCTTGTTTTCCTCATGAGACTTGACATGCTTCACAAGCGGATCATCAGACAAAAATATATGTGCAAAAGTAAACAATGCAATTCTATCACGAAGGGCCTCCACGTTAATCAAACCAGGCCCTCCCTTTATAACTGGTAAATATTAGCGATTGAGGGAAGAGCGAGGGTGGTGGGATCTATTGTCTGACATGTTTCTTTGTGTGAGGTTGTCAATACCCTGAATTTCTTGTTTTGTCCCATAAACAACAGGTAAAGAATACGAAAGGACGGCCACAGTATAAATGAACATAGTAACATATTAAATATAAACACTTCTTTCTTCTCTTTAAAGAATTAAGTGTACATGTACCAGATTGTTCTGACGAGGGATCCCTACAGGTTTTCTAACTTACAGGATTCAGCGTTTTCAAAATGAAAATTTAAGAATATTAATTTTTATTACACCTCACAATATTTACTGCACAAGTTTTGATTAAATCACATGTATTTAAGTTTCATTTACCGTTAAAGATAAACAACACTTTGAAATCGGGAAGGAAAGTGTAGATTTTACCTTTTCACCCAACTACACATTAAAACGGCACCACGCCTCCTGGCATGTCTTTGACAAGTATTTCTTGTGTTTACAGTTTGGGTTTGATCATTGGAATAAAGGGGGCACAGGTAGCCCAGTCGTGAAAGGCGCCGGAATTCGCTGTGCAGAGTTGTGTCCCTTGGGCACGCCAGAAACCAATGATTGTGGGTTCGAATCCTGGTTCGGTGCCCGTGGGTTTCACCGAAGTGGTAAACGTCTGAGACCTGCATCACTTCGGCTCTTTCTACCACATTAAGCTGACACGCCATGATATAACTGGAATAATGTTAAAATCGACGTTAAACCTCACTCACTCTCTCACTCATTGGTATAAAGATAATATGCCATCATAATTGTTATATATTTTCAGTTATTCATCAGTAAATAGGATCCAAGTTAAGTTTACGTGTACTTTATCAGGTTTGTCAACGTAACCATTCTCTTCTGCTTTATATCACAGACTGTACATGACTATAAAAGTGTTTCTACTTTTCCTTTCAGATCCAAACGACCATGCAGGCCTTACATGTATAAACCGTGACAGACACGACTGGGACTGCTGTAGAGAACACGGTGAGTTATGCCTTTGGTCAAAGTCAAGACAAAAGGTCTCCGGCCCATATACAAGAGAGAGTTCATCTTCCCGAGGCAAGAGAGTTAACTGACCCTTGCCGAACTAGGCTGGTATTATGGAGTTACATTTTGGCTGTACTGTCGAGCCTATACGGAACGAAATCTATTACCGGTTCGTAAACTGGCATGCAGATTTCGGTCGATTGCAGGATTTGCAAAGCATGTGCACCGCCAACTCGTTGTCAACATATATTTTCTCAATCTTTTCATGTTATTAATCAAGGTGCTAAAGTGATTTGATGACTTCGCGATGTAAGACCCGTTTTATCACGAGATAGATCTTGATGATTTTGATCAGATACTCTTACTGGGCGCCACCATTTCGTTTGAAACAAATACATGTGATACGAGAGGTGGAATCTGATTGGTCCATAGGAGAGGTTTAGAAGGGACATAACTCGTAATAACCACTGGTGGCGCTACGATCGAGACCAGGAATTCCAACCTAGTTCGGCAAGGGGGGTTGGGGAACTGGACTCTTAAAGTCAGTTATCTCCCTTGCCTCGGGAAGATAGAGAGAGTTACGCATGAAATTACAATCATACATGTTACACATTGGGATATATACGTCGTTTGATGAGACCATTTCGTTTGGCTAATGCATGCTTAATATATAGAGAAAGACGTAAATAAATTAGATTCGTTCTTTTTCGTCAGAATAACTACAAAGGCGTTTATCGGTGACATTGCTATTAAATATGCTTTGATATATTTCTTTCGAAGATTATCGCAAAATGGACAGACAAACACAAATTGAATTTCATTTTATATATCTATATTGCATGTAACGAGCTTCCAGTTCCTCCAAGTATAAACTGATACTGATAGACACCACAGTTACTGTTTTAGAGAACATTTTGTCAAAAAGCTATTTATATATGAGTATTCATTTCTTACAAGTAAATACCTTGACAGAACCAACTGGGTCTGTTTCCGAGAACACTGTGTCGATAAAAGACAGACAGACAGACAGACAGTTTATTCAGTATGCAAGGCCATATGGTCCATAGTACAGTTCAGTTTGAACAGATACATACAAAGCAATTGTGTCAATAACTTAATTTATGAATGAGCATTCCGTTCGCACAAGTAAAGGCCGTGGTAGGCACGAATGGGACTATTAGCGCGAACAAGATGAGCTGTAATTGCAGTAAGGTAGCTTACGAAGGAGAAAATGTTCCATTGTGAGCCTTTTTAGGAGACTAAAACTATCGTGTTAGAACGTTGTAGCTTCTTAACTTTGTTTTGTATGCTTGTTTTTGTTTTTATTTGATTGTTTAACACTGCACTAAGCAATACTCCAGCTATATTACAGTAAGAAATAGGGGCACACCAATGATTAACATCATGAACATCGAACAAACGATGACATGCATTCAACCAAGTCATCGAGCCTGATCACCGATCCATTTATTCACATCGACATAGATTCTGGGGACCTATATTTTTTCCCGGAATCGCAACGGGCGTTGTATACTTGTAGATCTAAATACGAGTGTTTTGAAGAGGTGAAATGGCGTTTAACATCGCGTCCTTGATTATTGCACCTTTTTGTGGTTTGTGTATGTGGCTGCTGGTACAAGTCCGGACTGATGCCGATTTATAGTGCTAGCCCACTGAGATACCATGCCACAGTTGAACATCGATACCCCACTCAGACACAGTATACTGACACCGAACCGACCAGTCCTTGTTTTAGCCCCTTTATGCCAAGCGCCAGACAGGGTAACAACAAGTACCATCTTTTAATGTCTAGAATGACGCGGCGGGGATCGAACCCCGGACCTTCCGCTCTCCGGGCGGGCGCTCTACCAGTAGACCACCGAGGCGTTTAAGGGACCCATGACACTTATAAATATATGACCATTCGTTGTGTTTCAAGGCTCAGCCAGACGATCCCCTGGCAATACTGAGGAATCTTTACAAACATATATACAACCGGAGTCAATTGTATCTGTGCACAGCTGTGTTTGGTTTGACAATGTGTTCTTATCTTCAACAGTAGCGGATTTAAAGAGGACTAGTTGTGTGGCTGACACGACCACCGTGCCGGGGACGACCCTCATCCACACCTACAGTCGCAGCGTCAGCGAGGCCAGTGTGAGTGAGGCATTGCAGAGAGGGTTGCGTCTTGCTGCCAAGGAAGGGTGTTACCATGTCACCGTACCGCTGCCTTCTGAAGGTAATAGTTCATCTTGGATACACCATTCGCAGAGCATGGCGAAATGTTGACGTTCAATATGACGTTGTGTTGTCCTTAAGTCTTACAATTCGTGACTTACTGAATACGTTTTGACCTACATATATCCTGATTATTGTGTCTTGACCTATATCTATCCCGATTACTGTGTTTTGACCTATAGCTATCCTGATAACTGTGTTTTGACCTACAGATATCCTGATTACTGTGTTTTGACCTACAAATATCCTGATTACTGTATTTTGACCTACATCTATCCTGATTACTGTTTTGACCTACTTATATCCTGATTACTGTGTTTTGACCTACGTCTATCCTGATTACTGTGTTTTGACCTACATATATCCCGATTACTGTGTTTTGACCTATGTCTATCCTGATTACTGTGTTTTGACCTACATCTATCCTGATTACTGTGTTTTGACCACGTCTATCCTGATTACTGTGTTTTAACCTACATATATCCCGATTACTGTGTTTTGACCTACGTCTATCCTGATTACTGTGTTTTGACCTACATCTATCCTGATTACTGTGTTTTGACCTACGTCTATCCTGATTACTGTGTTTTGACCTACATATATCCCGATTAATGTGTTTTGACCTACATCTATCCTGGTTATTGTGTTTTGACCTACATATATCCTGATTACTGTGTTTTGACCTACATATATATCCTGATTACTGTGTTTTGACCTAACTTTCCCGATAACTGTGTTTTGACCTACATATATCCCGATTATTGTGTTTTGATCTACATACATCCTGATGCTTGTGTGTAGACCTACATATTTCCCGATTTCTGTATTTTGATCTACTGTTATTACTTTATTACTTTTTCATTTATCCCAAAAAGATGGTATTAGCTTTTAGTGTTAGTGTTTCCGGAGAAACATTCAAAACTAAGATAAGCATTTTGCTGTTTGTCATAATCCAGGCAGCCTCGCGGCAAGACCGGATCAGTCAGCTTCCGCCATTGCTTCTGCCATAAACCGGCGTCCCTGTGGGGTGTATGTCGTAACAGTCATCATCCCCGATAACGACATCTATGTCGGAATAGTAACCAGAATCGCCAGCTGTGGAATAGTTCAGGAGCCCCCGGATGTCGACAAGGTTTCCCTAGTTGGTAAGTTCACGTAAAAGGGAGCTATAGGGTAGCCCAGTGGTTCGATTCCCCATGTGAGATAGTGTTTGAAGGCCATGTCTGGTGTTCTCCGCCGTGATATTGCTGGAATATTGCTGGAGTATTAGGAGCGCCCATCCTTCGGGGTACAATGACCTACCAGTCACCGAGCCTGACCACCCGACCTGTTACTTCGCCTCGTACGACCAACATAGGTTGCTTGACACATATTCTTACCAGGACTCCCTACGGGGAGGATCACTATAAGATAGTAACACATTCAGACTGGATGTTAATTGCAATAGTCGGAGGTACAGTAAACTACGGTTATAACAAACTCAAATGGACCACTAATTTTAGTTCGTTATAACCGTAGTTCGTTATAACCACATATACGACATCCATACAACAAATGGCCGGGACCAAACATTAATTTCGTAATATCCGTCAGTTCGTTATAAGTGTGTTCGTTATAAACGTACTTTACTGTATATGTAATACCATCAGTGGACGCTGAATGCATTAATGTCCTCTTACATTGACATTATTTCAATATATTTTGGCAGATTTTTAATCGCTTTATTGTTAATTGGGCCCATGGTATTATGTTGCTTTCAACATTCTAAGTTTATTCCCAACTATTTAAGTTTTTTAAGTATCTTATGATTTAGCATTTAACTGTTTCAGATTCCTTGTGGAAAGTTACGTTCTCCCGTCAGCAGAACCTTGCAGCGATGCTTAACACAGCGGTGGATGCCGTCATGGTTGTCACGTCAGATTCGGAGGAGACAAACAGGAACGCCGCCAGGGATGTGGAGAGGGAGCTGCACGTGCATCTGAATGATGTCGTGTACTCTCGCAGACAGTAGGGTAACCTGACTGTCTTCAGTTTACTCTCTCAGAAAATAGGGCAACCTGACGCTCTTCAGTTTACTCTCGCAGACAGTAGGGCAACCTGATGCTCTTCAGTTTACTATTGCAGACAGTAGGGCAACCTGACGCTCTTCAGTTTACTCTCGCAGACAGTAGGGCAACCTGACGGACTTCAGTTTTACTGACCTTTCCAGACAATAGGGCACCATGCCTGTCCTCGGATGACGCCTGAGATTACTTTCGCAGACAGTTGGGCAACCTGACTGTTTTCAGTTTACCCTAAGAATAACATACCCGTTTTCGGATGACATTGCACCAATGCATTCATGGCATCATTTAATAATAGCGAGGAAATCATGGATGAGAATTGATGCTACACTATGACTGTTTGCAGGTCGTACAGAGCATCACTTTGTAGTATTTGACGATGCATTCACGTGATTTAAGTTAAGGCTGATGCATTGTGTTTCACACTCATATCTATCTATATAAATATTGGTAAGTTAACATTGTACAGCTACTGCTTGATTGTGCCAAAATTCCACACCCTGTCTTTCACACATGGACGATTTTCGACAATTCTGTCATAAAACAGTATTATTTTTATATGCTTGTTATACACATATTATGCGGAGTGTTATCCAATATTTGTACTCTAAAGTATTTTGGAGCAAGGAATCTGAAGAGACACATTCCGGAAATAAGTTTCAGAAAACTTAATTCCACTTTTTGATGCTTCCTGGTCACAATGTCTGCCACTTATATCTACTTGTCATATACATGTACATACCGTACATTATGCCTACCTTCATAGAACATATGTGAGGAACGGAAATAAACTATTATATGCATTATATATATCATTATTATCAAGTAATGTCTTTCCCAGTAAGCTTCTATAGGCGTTGAGGGGACACAGGTGGCCCAGTTGTCTAAGGCGCCGCGATTCGCTGTGCAGAGTTGCGTCCCTTGATTGTGGGTTCGAATCCCGGTTCGCCCCAAATATGTTTCTAAGTTTGCAAGCACCATATCCGTGCTCGTGGGTTTCACCGAAGTGGTAAACGTCCGAGACCTGCATCACTTCGGGCTTTCCTCCCAAATTAAGCTGACACATCGTGATATAACTGCAATAATGTTAAAAGCGATATTAATTAAACCCAACTCACTCACTCACTCAATAGACGTTGAACGCAGTTATTTTCTTAAGGTTAGATAAGGGGTACAAGTTTTTAGATCAATGGTCATAAAGTCTGTGGAATCTTACAGACCTTTTCCAAATTGGAAAATGTTTAGTTTAGTCTGTTCGGTGTTGTCACCGTTTGACACGACCCCTCGTTCCTCGTCGGACTCTTTACACCATATGGAAGATTTACAAACATTTACAAACATTTACAAACATTTAATGTACCATGCTATACCTTTTAACATTTTAAGTGTATTTCAAAGAATTTTATGTGGATATACAGATTGCAGTCCATCATATTATGGAATAATATGCATTTCATTAATCGTACAAATGTTAATTTTGCAAGAACATCTGAGAGATATGCAGTTACTTCATGGTATGCCTTTACCTTTGTTTTGAAGTGTTTTAGATCACTTGACATCCCGTCAACGCATATCTGTACGGTTATATTTTAATTCTATTTGTTACGATTTACCCATGCAGAGATAGGGCAAGACGAAACAACTGGTCGACCATTGACCATGTCCACTCAGACGTGTACATGCTTGAATGCTTTGATTCCTGTTGTATCAAGTCAGAATGATCTATCAGTCTATAGTACTGCAGCTTTGTAGAAGTTAGTAGATAAATAAATGTTATTGTGAATCTTGTCTATTGTTCTCAAAATTAACTCTAGTGATAAAGTCTTTATTGCCTTACACAGTCAGTTTGTCATGACCCTTGTCCAGTTCTGGTATGTAGGAGGAGCATTCAATAAGTTTTAGAACTTCAATATAAGACCAAGTCGCCGAGTATCTTTTGCACTTCTATTTTTCGATGTAATCTGCATTCACCTCAATACACTTATTCAATTTGTCCTTCAAGCTTTAAATACCACTTTTATAGAAATCCGCAAATTGGCCCTCTAACCACGCCTCTGTGGCAGCCTTTATGTCCTCGTCATCCTGGAAGCGTCTTCCGCATTTGCCGGAACAAGAAATAGTCACTGGGAGCAAAGTCTGGGCTGTAGGGTGGGTCATTTAACTGTTCGAATCCACATTCACATATGGCGGCCTGTGCAATTCTCGACTTGTGAACCGGAGCATGTGAGGAACTTTATTACAGCGCGTTGTTCATGTTTAAGACAATCCATGATTGTGACCACCCTTAGGTGAATGAAGCCATTACATCTAACTTATTATTGTGTCTGGAACTTGTTATGACATGTGTCAACCTGATGTTATGACTAGTGTCACACCTGCCACAAGTTGACATTGTTTGTGTAAACACAAATGCCCAAGTTGAACGTCCCTCGTATTTACAATAAATTAAAATTATTTCAATTGACATTCAGCAGGGTATTGACTTTACACTATTCAGCTTTCCCTTCATGTCGAGCAATATCCAAGCAGATCCAGCCTTGGTGTCTACATATCTCAACTTTTGAAGTACAATCACGCATGCTCCTTCAGCGAAGATTTCAAAGAACGTTATACGACTCGTGCTCATAAGTTGTTGGACATTTTGAAGCATCAGTGACCAAAATGATGTCTGACGTACTTCATCATTCTGACTTGTACCACATGCTTCCGTGTTATTTCAGGTGAACAATTGACTTCCCTTTGCATGTGTTTGTGACGGATGCCACCGATGGGGCAGGATACGCTGCCGTTTTCGCAAACACTTGGTATCATCACTATTTGACACTAATTCATAAACACATGCATATAATGTTGTCGGAATCTTACAGATGTCAAAGGGAGTTATTCATGATTGTAGTAATACTGTTTCACAACTTCCTACACACTGTTTCAGTATTAAAAGCGCCTTCAACCAATGCCCTCTAAAATCAAATAGCTGCTTTAGGACCTCAAACATGCATGTGTAATTTATTCTCTTAAGTCCATTTAATTATGGTAAACTGACAAAAAATACAATATTATTTTGGAAGGACAGCAACGAAACATCCTACAACAGAATGATGTTTCAGGCCACACTTACATGTACATGTTGTTTTGTTCGATTAGCATATCGTCCTTCGCAGTGATAGAGTCACTTTTAACTGTGATATGATTGAATACTTATACTTTACCAACAGTTTGAAGTAGGGATGTAACATGGTCACTTTTTGACGTACAAGCAGAAAAGTTAAAAAAGTGCTCGCTATATGTAAATCAAGAGGGGAAATTTTCTAGTGTACAGTAGCAAATATATAACCTAGCAAAATAATAACCCGAAGGTAATTGCTCTCCTAGATGTTTCAGTATTATCTTCAGGGAGAAGTGATTATGTATAAATAAAAATATAAAAAAACCCAAAACAACCGCAAATCCAAAAACATATTATTTGTATTATTTTGGATTATTTGTAGGAGATAGTAAGTCCTACGTAGGAGATAGTAAGTCCTACGTAGGAGATAGTAAGTCCTACGTAGGACATAGTAAGTCCTACGTAGGAGATACTTAGACAAAAACAATTTCACCGTGGCCCTACTACGCTTCCGTAGACATTAATGTCGGAATGCTGAAAGAATCTGTGTTGATCGACAAGTTTGTATTACCGTCGATGTGTTGATGAAGCCGGTCATGCTGTACAGAGATCTTGTATCAATCCCCAGATAGCGTTGAAACGATGGAGGAAGCTTGTCGACTTGACTACCTTCAGTATAGATACCCCAGCATATCACAAACACATAAACTACAGGACAAAAGAAATGCATAGCTGAATTCAAAAGACACTTTTATATCAGGAATTAATCATTTGGTTACAAAGATATGTAAAGATATGAATAGAAAATGCCATTTAGAAAGTGGTAAAATGTAACAACTGTTATATTTGGGATAACATGTTCTTAGTAAAGTATAGATTCTCGTACTTTTTTGGGGTTGAGTCCCGTCCGGGATTCGAACACACACTTGCCAGAGTGAGGCACCTAATCGCCAGCACACAAAGTCAGCGATCTAACCAACTCAGCCACCGAGGCGTTCAAAAAACTGAAAGTCCGACAACTGGTAGTCTAGATCACGTACTTTGAGTACCCCTCTGACAAGTGTAAATTGGCACGGCTCCAATGGCCGAAAGCTATGTTAGATTAGGTGATCAATTTCACTGTGTTACAAGGGACAAGGACACAACACAATATCGTGGAATCATACCGCTGGAATCAAAGATATCCTAACACCGCCGACCTATGGAATCAACAAGATTCCACATGATGCCTGGGAATGTTTATCTTGTTTCAAAGCCAACAAAAGCTCAGCGTTACGTCGTCGTACACGCTTATTACGTTCGTCCCACACATGTTCAGTGGGGTTGAGATCTGGTGATCTGGATGGCCACTGATGAACAGGAATGTTGTTTTGTGTTAGGAAATTAGTTGTGCATCGAGTGTGGTCGGGCAATGTTATGTTGAAAACGACGTACGTTGGTTCATGAATGGAGTGAGTGAGTGAGTTTAACGCCGCTTTTAACAGTATTCCAGTCATATCACGGCGTGTCAGCTTAATGTGGGAGGAAAGCCCGAAGTGATGCAGGTCTCAGACGCTTACCACTTCGATGAAACCCACGAGCACGGGTATGGTGCTGACAAACCTAGAAACATAATCGGGGCGAACCGGGATTCGATCTCACAATCATAGGTTTCTGGCGTGCCCAAGGGACTCTGCACAGCTTATTAGAGCGACCGAGGTGACATGCTTTAATGTCTGGTGTACTTGCGTAGGCTTTGTCTTTCACGATACGCTTTGTTATCACGGTGTACAAAAGTAGGCCAAATGTTATCACCACTTGCATACATGTCGCTGTGTGACGTGACCTACAACATGGCAAAGGAACTGGCTGAAAACAGCTCCGTGACCATCACGAGTTAGCTAATTCTACATTCCTAGAAGCCCGTTTAGGATCGATACAAGATCACGTACCTGGTACCTGGAGATCCGGGAGACTGAAAATCTGCATCAACTAACGACTTGGAAGGATACAGTTATCCCAAGTAAGAAATGGAGTTAATGAAACCTCGTTATTCTGACTGATTGGTCCTCAAAATCATCCTCCAAAATGTTTTTTCAAGAAAACGCTACACATAAAAAAAAGATCTTTGCATCTCTTCCTGTGTGTAGATGTATGACAGTGTGGAGACTGATTGTTGATAAATAATTGTACTATGACTGTCTACAGACTGTGTGGAGTTCTCTGGCTGTGTCTCGATACCTAATTGTGTGGAGGCAACTGGCCGTGAGTAGATGACTGTATGTTTGGGGACCAATGACTGCGAGACGTGTATCTAGCGTGTGTAGATCCCTGCCTGTGTGTATATTACTACATATTATATAGTGTGTTGAGATCTCTGATTGGAGATTACTGACTTTCTACATCACTGATGTGTATAGGTCTGTCACCGATATGCAAAGCTCCTATTGTGCGGATCCTGTGACTGTGTGTATATCTGTGAAGGTGTGGAAATTTCTGACTGTGTCGATATCACTGACTGTATGTAGATCTCTGTCTGTTAGGAGATCTTTTGTCGAGTTGAGAGCCCAGATGCGTCCCTTAGCGTCACCGTTTTTCTGTACAAGTGAATATATATTTAACAGTGTTTTGTTAATATTGTGGAGCTCGACCCGACTGTGTGTACCCAGTGGGAAGATCTGGGAAAGAAGCTATCCGAGTGAGTGTCTACTGAGTATTAACGGTATCCGCCGTAGGTTCATCAACACATCTGAGTCAATACAATGGGTTTAATACTCACCCGTGAAGAGACAAGACACCTTTATTACACAAAGCGAATGGGCACGTCGGTAGCACTATACATCTGTATTATGCAACGTATTCTGTACAATAAGGGCCCCGCTCGAAATTAAGGGGCTAAATCAAGGACTGGTCGGCTCGGAGTCAGTATAATGTGACTGAGTGGGGTATTCATGTTAAACTGTGGCATGGTATCTCAGTGGGCTAGCACTTTAAATAGGCATCAGTCCGGACTAGTACAAGCAGCCACACACATACATACACATGTGCAAAAATCTTGGACGCGACGTTAAACCCCATTTCACCTCACCTCACCACTCTTTGTAAGAAAAACGGTATCTAACGGGTTTAGTTTAGTAGTCCATATATATGAATTAGAAAGCTATTCTCTTCACAGTAACTGTTGTGAGTCATAGAGATACTAGGATATCAATACATCGACAGGTCCTGGGATCACCATGACTGACAACGTAGCTTTATGTAGCTCAATAGGACGCTACCTAGACCCCAGTAGACCATGGCTGACCCAGCTTAGTGCCCTGGCGACGCAAGCAAAGGAGGGAGCATCCGCCATCCTGAAAAGTGATGCCCAGTCTGGCACGATGAAGTCGACAAGTTACTTCATCATAAGTGATGAAGGAGAGATGTGTGATATTCGTAAGTATGTTAACGATAACTCTACTTGCATGTAGACCATAGACTAAGTGTAGATCTATGACTTTGAGTAGATAAGTGTCAGTATGATGATAACTGACTATGCACAGATCTATGACTGTGTACATCACTGACTATTTGAAGATCCTGGACAGTTTATAGATCTCTGTATGTGTGGAGCTCTGTGTGGAAATCGCTGTCTGTCTAAAAAGATCAGACTGTAGATCTGGGAATTTGATTTACTGAACCTCCCGACGGTGCAATATATCTCATTGCGCAGTATATGACTGATAGGTAAATAAAATCAGATCATAATACTGTAGCTGGGCGTGGAGTCATCTCACAGTTGACATCCTTATCGTGCCAGCCTCGTTATAATTAATCTCTTTACTTCCCCATCAACAGAAGGCAGGACTCGGGCCGCATGGTAGGTTATTGAGACTTATTTTGCTCAAATTTAATATTTGAACGCCAATGAAGCAGCCATAACATTTCCGAGTCCTGTGATTAGATTCGAACCACGGACCTTCTGATCCGAGGTCGGACGCCATGTGCACATGACCAAAGAGGTTAACCCTGTCAGCAAGATGACAAGGTAAGGTTGTCATCTGTGGGATGACTCCACGCCCTGCTTCCTAAACATGACAGTCGTGTGTTGTACAGATACTTAATTATTTATATCAATACAGGTGCTGGGATGCCCAGGTCGGACACCATAGCTATGAGCAGGTCCACGCTGGTCAAAGTCAGTTCTCTGGCGATGCATTCAGAGGAAGAGGGTACACTCTGTCAGTATGGCTCACTGAAGTCGGAAGATGACTTCATTATGATAGATATAGGCGACCAAATTGAGAATCGTAAGTACATCAATATATGATATAAAACGCCAACGCCAGAGAATAATCAGTCACAATTATCTTTCTTAACAGATTCCATAGGGCGTAAACGACAGATGATGAGCTTCTTACGACGAGTTGCTCTAATCTTCCTCTGACGTGATTTCACCTCGTATTCTGTTTCATGTAATGACTACAAAGTGAGGCCCAGGCAATATTAGCTTACAGCAACATGATACACTGGTATCGATAACCAGATCAGATTTAATATACTCTGTCCAACATTTAACATCCCCAAAAGTCACCTTATTGACCTCACTCACTATAATAAATTAATTAATAATCACGATATTTCGTATTTCTATTTCGTGTTGAGAGGACTATTGTGAGTTCTATAAAGTTCGGGCGCTGTCACTATGTCTTTTAGGCCTAGAAAAATAATAATTCAATTTCAAAACGTTAGTTTAAAAACTAACATTTTCTCTCGACCAATGATTTGACAAATACTAACATTTCAAGCTAACGTACTAATTTATTGTGTTGCAATCAAAGACTGTGAAAGCCTTAAATACTATTTCAGAGCAACCGTTAACTGTTGAAAGGGCTTCGATAAACACATCAATGTGCATAGATTCAGTACAGCCGCTAACATCATCTGTAGAAGCTCAGGACAAGAGAAACGACACAGGACAAAGCAGTCATCCGATACCTCTTTCACCAATACAACAGCTACTTCTCCAAGATAGAGACACAGCCAGGCAAACTCTGTGTAATCAACTGGAAACGAAAGGGTTCAAGGCAACATTTCGATTTCAACAACGAGAGGTTGACATTGAGGTTGAGTCCAAGGAAGCAAAGAAACAAGTAGAAGCTCTGGATGTCATCACCAGCTCGGTCGTGGAGATGGAACTCACCTTCAGCAGTGATGAACTGGAACAGATGGCTCAAGTGGCTGATATCCAGCATGTTCTTGTGCCACTGTTGTCGAGGGATCAGGACGTGCTTGTCGTCATTGATAAGACCAACGGAGGTATGAAGCTTGTTGGCATGGCAGACACTATCAATCTACTGAAGGAAACCCTTAATAAGTTACAAGAACTTTCGGACTGCAGACACAAGAAGAACCAAGAAAAACAAGGATCACCAAAGACATCTACATCAATATCAATATGGCCACGAGAATCATCTCAAGAACAGGCTTTACTCTACCAAAGTAGCAATCTGTTGGAGAGTCGAACAGTGAAAAGTCGACGTAGAGCACAATCTGCGCTTCCTAAAACACAAGGTCAGTCCTGTCAATGAAGATGCTGACATAACCTTTACAGCAAATTGGTTGTGTCAAACACGCCCTTATTGCACACCACCAACAACAATACGAAAACTAAATTGTAGATGTATTCAGACAGGCTTCCGATAATCGAACCTTTGACCCGTTTCCTCAGAGTCGCTGGTGGATATCCAGGCAAAAGTGAGTTGTCACTTTGAACAGGGTAATTTAAGTTACATCACTGCAGGTCTGTTTAATGTGAGAGACAAGTCCAAAGTAACTCAGGTCGTAGACCTTTACCACTTGAAAGTACAGCGACAAAACCCTTTCCATATCCAATAGAAATCGCTACATGAAGCAGAGTCGATGGTACAATTCCGACTATATCATGAGCCTGTGTTGATGAATCACTATCAAATAGTAATGATACAGGGCGATTGCGAAAAAGGGAGCGTATCCCGCCTGAGAATAAATGGGGATATATGGTACAATTCAAAATATAGAATTGCATTAGACATAATTTTCGTCACTGCGTCAAATTTGGAAATGTCCTCCCCATGTCTACCATAAAACTGTTTGAAAGCTTTAATGAGGCCTTGGATGTTGTAACCTTGATCAAACAACTTCTGAGCAAGAGTCGTATGACGCTCTTGGAATTCTTGGTAGAAAGAGCATGCTCGAGTGTATCTCAAAAGTTGTGAAATGTAAACACCAAAGGCTGGAGCTGCTCTACTATTGCTCGAGATGAAGGGACAGTTGACTATTGGAAAGTTGAAGTTATCCCTCTTGTCATACAGTCTTGTGGAGAGTCTTTTATCACTCGGAAACGAAGCCAAACAAGATCAAGCCTAACATGGACGATGCAATTAGTCCAAGACGACCTAGATTATTTATTTGGAGTATTTTTATAGAAGCTGATTTTCTATCTATCTCTATAGATGTACCTAAAGGTGTTTATTCCGATTTTATGTACAACAATGGAACAGCCTCACACACTGCCACCTCCTGCTGAGGGAAAAGACACGAAGTCATCACTTTGTAATTTTGCGTTCAAAGTGTCGTCGAAATGCACTGGTCGCGACCTTTAGTTTGCTTTTGTCTGCTGTTTGTCTTTAGTATACATATGTGTGTTAAATATTAATATTTATTTGCCTTTAATAATTCGGAACGACATATTATTCATCAGGTATTATAGCTAAAATAGTTTTGATTATATATACATGTATTGCGTTTTTTATTACATTATCGTAACGATATTAAATATCTAATGTACAAAATATATAGAATGTGCTTCCGTTCGTGTATGTTGCCAGACGATCGTTCGTGTGGGTTTCCAGAAGATCAAGATGTTAAAGTGACCGTTGTCTTCAACAGGATAGAAAAACAAAACGTAAGTAGCGGTGTTTTTACCTTGGAAAATAATGTTTGGTACCGCCAAATTAATATGCTGTTCCCTGTGTCTGTGCGTGCGTGCATGCGTGTGTACGTGCGTGCGTGCGTGCGTGCGTGCGTGTATACGTGCAATTCAATGAGATACGATGACATGCATCAACCAAGTCAGCGAGTCTAACCACCCGATCCCGTTGGTCGCCCCGTACGAAGACCAACGATACCCGAAATTTCACGGGTGTATGTGAGTGGCAGAGGTGTGTATTTTGTCTAAGATTTGTCAAAAACAAATATACAAGTATTTTCTGCTTTTCCAGGCTGATGTGATTGTAAATACAACCAACAGACAACTGAACCTGAGTTCCGGGTTTGGTGTGTCCTACAGCCTGCTGAAGGCGGCTGGTTCCGACATACAGACATGCTTAAGACACACCTATCCTAACGGGATAGATCACGGTGATTTGGCGGTGGGTCGTTCTGGAAATCTTGACACTTGTAAAAAGATCTACCACGGATGTCTTCCATTCTATAAAGGGTTCAGGAAAACATCAACCCTTTCAAAGTGTTACGAGGTAATGAGTAAGAATAACAAGATATGTGACTATTAATCATGTAAAATGTCTCCTTTTCCCTGTTAACTTATAACATGTTTTGTACTCTCCTATGTATATATGGAAAGGCAAGGCAATTGTTCACCTACAAAAACGGACCTTCTAGCAAGAGTCGTAAACTGTTATATTATCGTATTATTGTTTCATGTCTGAGGCGCCGCAATTCGATGTGCCGAGTTGCGTCACTTTAGCACGCTAGAAAGCTATGGTCGTGGGATCGAATCCCGGTTTGCCCCGATCATGTTTCTAGGTTTGTCGGCACCATACCCGTGCTCGTGGGTTTCACCAAAGTGATAAACGTCTACGACCTGCATCATTTCGGGCTTTCCTCCCACATTAAGATGACACGCAGTGAAATAACTGGAATACTGTGGAAAAGCAGCATTAAACCCAGCTCACTAACCGACTCATTTCTGTGTTCATTGTAGTGCTAGGGTATTTATCAAGAGTTCAGAGATATACATTATCTCAACGAACACATATAGGAATGTTTTATGACTAAGACTAGTGACCTTTTGTTTATATGGATATGTTCCTCCTCAGAGGCTGGTGTCTCTGGTGTTCCGATGTCTCATCCAGGCCTGCAAGGATGGATTTCAGACAATTGCTCTGCCAGCATTCGGCACAGGAGCCCTACAGTATCCTAACAAGAACGTTGTACAACTCATGTATCATACCATTGATCTGGTCACCCAAGAAAACAGACAGAAATCGCTGAAGGAAATATTCATAGTTACCTCCCTTGAGTCAAGGTTAGATGTCAAACAGGTACATAGAGCGTTAAGATAATACAGTTCTTCTAAAGGTTCTTGATATCAGACAGTGTACATTTTTCACACATATACATACTCAACAAAATGTGTAGGTTTGTGGGAAAACTGTGGTGTGCTTGAAATTGCTTAATTGTTGGTATTTTATTCTTCACGTAGCTGTTTCTCGCTCATCGTATCACTCACAAGCTCAAGACAAGATGGCTGGAAGCACCCCCGGAAGGTGGGTAGCACGCCGAAACTAGATCTTCTGTGTTAAAAGAGGACGCTGCTGGCTCAGTAGTCTAATAAGAGCGACTATACATTATTAAAAATTCGATTTTACGATTCCGATCATGAGTTTGTGTTTATGTATCAATATCAAATAATTATGACACCAGGTGTTCGTGAAAAGGTTAGCGAACATTCTACCCCACCGGTGATACCCGCACAAACACATGCAAAGGCAAATAAATCGTTCACTTTAAAAAAACATGGCAACGTATGGTACAAGTCAAAATAGGGAATTGTACGACACCATGTTTGTCACTGATGCGTCAGATGTTTGAAATGTCCTACCATGTCTACCATAAATCTTTTTGAAAGCTTCACTGAGACCTTTCTGTGTCGTATGACGCTTGGCTCGATTGACCCTAAACATTTGTAAAATGTAGATATCAAAGGATGAAGCTGTAGGTATATTGCTCAGCCTTGCCCCTCTTGTCATACAGTCAAAGGTTTTATCACTCAGATCATTGTTATGCAAATATCTAAACAGATTAGGCGGTCTCACTTTTCTCCTTCATTTCTAGTTCAGGTGGATAAATTAGTGAAAGGCATTGGCTATTTGATGGTTATTGAACGATATCAGATCATGGATATATTAAAGCTTAAGTTAAACTTCTTGGCCAAATTATCTTGTTTTGACTTTTCTAATCTGAGAAAATGTTCAGATTCATATACACAATGGACTATTTTAGCGAGAAGGTGGGCACAATTGATGACCAAGTTTTACGTAGATGTTATGAATGAAGTCCAGCTTTTCACATATTCTGTTCTCGGTAAACTTCAGAATGCATTTGCTTTCATTTTTAACAAACTGACCCGAAGATAGATGTGTAGCTGTATCTGTGGCCACCACGTTTTGTAACAAAAGCCCCATGGATCAAGGAATGAAGTTTTCTAAATTTTGTCATGTTGGATAGTTGTGTACAAAGTTGAAAAATCAAATGTTTTGACAGAAGTGAACCTGGTCTTTGAGAATACATGTAGAGCAGCCACACTTTGGATGACAGTTGGCTGGGACGGAATGGGTTTCCTCTTTTTTAGTTTGGGTGCTCTTCTAATGACAAAAACCCACCCACTCCTTTGTCTCTGAAAGCAGTCACTAGCATAGGTTGTACGTGAGGTGCCGCAATTCGCTGTGTAGAGTTGTATCAGTGTCCTCTGGACGTGGCTTCGAGTTTCAGCATTTCTCGTTGTATTATCCTTGGTTTGTCAGCGAAATATCACGTCACAGCATCCACCTTACGTTACGCAAAGGCTATTTAACACCCTAGATTTGTCATTTGTTTACAATACGTGAAGATCCAGGTTAGAAAAGGTCTTCAGCAACCCATGCTTGTCGTAAGAGACGACGAACGTGATCGGGTGATCAGGATCGCTGACTTGGTTGATGCACGTCATCGTATCCCAATTGCGTCGATCGATGCTCATGAAATCAAAATCTGAAGTGTCTGGTCCAGACTCGATTATTTACGGACCGCCGTAATATAGCTGGAATATTGCTGAGTGCGGAGTTAAACAACAAATAAACAAATCATTTTTGTGCTTTTATGTCTGCCTGTGTAAGATCCTTGCTCACTTTCCAACTACCTCTTTGGTTTTCGTCACACATTAATCAACCCTGCTGTAATAAAACTGTCAGTGATACATTCATATAAATTTCACCTCTATTTTGCCCTTTGCACCAAATGGTATCTGCTTCGGCAGTTAATCGAGATGAATTATTCTCTGCTCTTGACGATTTGAATTTACTATCTTCAGACCGACATGGATTCTTTTACAACCTCTTTAGGCCGAGAACAGATAGCAGTTTGCCTGTATTCTTGGAAAGGGGTATGACTTGTTTGATATTATAACGAATACTTTTCCACACTTATTTTGATATTCTGTCACATTTGTATACATGTTTGCACTGTTGTTTAACAGTTTTGTTGTTTGCAATTGATTAACACATTTATCTACCTTTATACTTCAATCCTTAATGCGGAGACCTCAAATACAACCACATGCAGAATATATTCACAATAATTTAAATGTAGTTCCTTGTTTTCTATGTACCAAGTATTGTAATCCCATGTGTTATATTGTAAATACCATGGATGATTGTATTTGGTTGACTCAACATTACCTGCTTACATGGTGCTATACTTTAAGTTACATATTTGTGTTTGTGCCAAACAAAAACATGACTTTTGTGTTTGTGTGAATATGAAAACACATAGGATTTCCCATGGACCATTCTATTCCGATCGGTAACTCCTGGACATCCATTGTTAAGTATTTCAGTTTACAAATTATTTGTCTTAATTTTGTTCTGCTCTCCATGTGTAGCTTTCAACTTCCATGTCCAAATTGTATCATTCACCAAGAGACTGATCACAGCGCAGAGGGTCTCTGGACAAAATGAGTTCCCAGAAATAAAACGGGTTATGTAACTATATTTTTTAATTGCATTTAGAGGTGCGAAGACCGGTCCAGACCAAGTGCGAGTTGAGAATCATGATTGCAGACACACTAGTCCAGATTATTAATGGGGGCATCAGCGAGGTGTGTGACGTCACACAGACTTCACTCCTGCTGTGGAGAGAGAGGGATACACGGAGTATGTAACTTTGTTTTCTCTACCATAATGAGCGTAACACACAAACTTCGCCTTGTTGTTGGACATGCTACCCTAAAGTGGGGCTAAGGGTGAAAGACAAACATAAAGAAACATGTAAGATAGCCTATTAACTATAAAGAAAGGAAATACTGTAGTAAACTCCTATTGAATATCCTTTGATTTACACATCAATAGAATTTTTCTAATGTGTTCACATCCTTCCTCAAAATTATGTCATTTACTGAGCTAACAAAATTACACGACATGGCAACGTATTTCTAATTATAACTGTCATTCTCTTTAAGAAATTAATTGTATTGGTTTATATTCAATTAGTAAACATTTCGAAATCGAGCATATGTCCCATGTGTTCCCTGAATCTTGGCAATCACATTAGTGTCAAGTGTCAAGGGAAAAAACATTTAGTAATATAATTGATTTCATTGGATTTATCAAAACGGACAAGAGCATGTTTGTTCGCTTGGATAGGTCTGAGGTCGAACCATGGATGGACGTCTGTCGAAAGCACAAGCATGGTGAAGACAGTAATAAAAGGATCGACCCACACCATCATGTCGCTTACAATACTGTGTTTGTGCCAAAGCGGGGCATCCACTGACAATCTGTTGGACAGTCTCATTAAATTCATTGCTTAATCTACATTTCATATTTACATTTTAAAACAAAATCACACACTGACAGGTAGAAACAAATAGAAAGCCTTCCGTTTCACTTTTCAGGCCTGCGAGGCTGCTTTTCTCCTCAATATATACGTTGCACATAAACTCGATGCAGTAGTCGTTCAGAGAGCCTGAGCCTGTGCCGATTATATATGGTTCTTTGCTTGGTTGACATTCATTACTGTCCCGTCTAGCAGTTCAGAACCATCAACAAAATCATCATTGACATTGAGATAATGTCCCACATCCTTGGCTTGTTTAGCAAAATGCCTTGTTTCCATCAAGTTCTGATGAACAGTCCTGATATACTTCACAAGAGGATCATCAGACAGAAAATAAGTGCACATTCTGTCATGAAGAGCCTCCAAATTAATCAAACAAGCCCCTCCCATTATAATGGGGGCGGGATCTATGATAAGGTCGTGTTTTTTTCCAAAGTAGTAAACGTCATCACCTCAGCTTTTTCTCCCACATTAAGCTGGCATGCAGCGACATTCTGCACAAAGAAACGTTAAAGGAAACACACTGACTGTCTCTTATTTCCAGCAAGGACGAGCGGTGTGGTTGATCCTTCCACCAGTGTTCCCGGAAGAATCATCCGTGCCTACGATGAGGACGACAGCGAGGACAACAACGAGGACAACAACGAGGCCAAAGTGAGGGAGTCAATGCTGATAGGGCTACGTCTAGCTGCCGAGAAGGAGTGGTACCATGTGACCATACCACTGTCAGCTGAAGGTAACGTGATGTAATGTGTTTTGATCAGATCGGCTCAAATCAGACGCAAATTGTATTTCTTGATGCAGTTTGAAAATATCTTCTGCTTTTACAAATGTTATTTTTTACCGTTTGTTATTTTTTTCAGACGTTCTCTCACCTGATCAAATAACCGCCGCTATTGTTGCTGCCATAAAACGTCGTTCATGTGGTGTATATGTCCTGACACTCGCGGTTCCCGATACCAACATCTACATCGATGTAGCAACTCGGATAGCGAGACATGGAATAGTTCAGGAGCCTCCTGATGTGAGCAACGTTTCCCTCGTTGGTAAGTCCTCGTTGCTGAACAGTTCCCCAATCTCCACTGGCAATGTTTCGTATACGCCACAATACCTCAACCCCACTTTATCTTTCATATCATCCGACTGTTTCAGATTCCTTGTGGAAAGCAAAGTTCTCACGTCAACGCTTTGAGAGCCTTGGAGAAACGTGTACCACAGAGGTGGTCGTCACGTCAGATTCGGAGGAGACGAACACGAACGCCGCCAGGGACGTTGAGAGAGAGCTGCATGTGGAGCTGGATGTTGTGTAGTTCTTGGCCAAACCACTTTCTTTTAATTGAGCTATAAAGAGTACATATCAATTGAAATGGCACACAAAGAGGTTAATTTTTTTGATATGTATTACGCCTTCAGCTTTGTCACAATATCAAACACAGGTATTTTTTAACTATGGCCATCAGCAGATGGGAAATGTAGGCCAATTTGAAATCCAACATGGACTCCACAAACGATCGTGGAAAGAAGACAACATCAGTGTTCGTATTCAGTGACATATGTTGATGATTTTAAACCTTTCTGCGAAGCTTCTTCCATTTCTTCCATTATCCCATACACTGGTATCCTGTCTATCCCCAAACACTCATGTCTCCTGTCATTTCTGACAATGAGTGAGTGAGTAACAATTTAACGTCGCATCGGCACTATTTCAGCCATATAGTGACTTGTGACAATAAATACATTTACAATATATATCTCAGAACTAATGCTCAGATTGCATTTTACCTTAAACTATTTTGGAATGGTCCATCCTTTTCATGATATTATTACTTGTGATTCTTTAAGAACATTAGCGAAGGTAGTGACTGAAGAAGACTCATAGTGACTCTTGCAGCACCTTCATTTAAGGCATGTTCAGCCATATAGAGTCACTGAGGAAATTACGCGTTGAAAGACTGACTAAAATCTGACTGTATGTGCCAATGTGTGATGCCAACGTATGTTCCCCTCTCACCAGTAAACATTAAAACATTGTTGCATTGTTTTCTTTATGCCTTAGTAAGTTTTAATACCATATGATAAGGAATATTATGAATAACAACTTCTTTATCATTATCAGGTGGTGAAGGGTCCAGGAGTAGCCCTAAAACTTTGTGTATAATAATATAATAAAGCTTGTTATATATTATGCCATGTCATATTTATATGTTCACCATAACTCTCATCTGTACTTAGTTAGGTCATGTCCGATTTAACAAATTTTCAGTGGTTCCAGTAAATGAATGCATTCTACTAAAGAGTACACATACAGTTTACAAATACAGTTTAATATGGTGATATGTTAGTTTTACGTCTCTTTGACGATGAGTGGGTGAGTGAGTAAGGTTTTACGCCGATGTTACTCATATCAGAGACGCCAGCTATATTCAGCGCAGTACACACTGTGTAGCCGGCTATGACGCTGTAGGCAAAGACTATCGTCTCTCCGCCATTGCTGTAGTGGAACACACCTGTATTCACCTGTGATTACTTCCCCCAGTCAACACTGTGGGGCAGGATACGCTGACGTTTTCGCAAATACTTGGCATCATCATCACTATTTGACACTAATTCATAAACATATGCTTATGATGTTGATGAAATCTTACGGATATCTGAGGGAAAAGGTTTTGTCCCTTTTACTGATACACAATTGTGCTTAGGTAGGTTGTGCGAGAGTTATTCATGATTGTAGTAATACCGTTTGACAGCTTCCTACACACTGTTTCAGTATGAAAAGCGCCTTCAACCAATGCCCTCTAAAAATAGCTACTTTAGGACTTCAAACATGCATGTGTAATTTATTCTAGTAAGTCATTAAATTATGGTGAACAGACAAAAAACAACAATATTTCTTTAGGAAAAACAGAATGATGTTTCAGGCCACACTTTCATGTTGTTTTGTTCGAGCTTCATCGTCCTTCGTTTGTTCCAGTGACAGAGTCATATGATATAATGAATGCGATATTAATGTCGGAATGCCTGTTGAATCTGTGTTGATCGAACTGTCCATAACCATTACGTTTATAAGATAATGAGACTGTTCATGCTGTACAGAGATGTAAGGTCAATCCCCAGATAACGTTATAGCGAAGGAGGAAGCTTGCCCACATGTCTACATGACAGTTTGATATAAAGAGCTGTTCAATTGGTTACAAAGATATAGCAAAGTGTGATTGTCAGTGTTTGAATAATTCATTTAACAATGATCAATTTCACTGGGGTACAAAGATCAAGGACATATCACTTCAATATCGTGTATGATCACCACTGGAATTAATTACATCATGAAACCGTCGACCCATCGAGCCAACACGTTTCCGCATGAACTGCCTGGGGATCTTAGTGCCTTCTCGTTGCAAGGCCAAAACAAGTCCTGAAATGCCTGAAGCTCAGGGTTACGTCGTCGTTACATGTCTATCAAGTTCGAATCAAACATGTTGAGTTTGGTTCCGATCTGGTGATCTGGATGGCCACTGAAGAACTGGAATCGAGCGAGGTCGGGCAATGCTATGTTGGAAAACGACGTTATCTTTATTCATGAATGGAATGACGTGGGTCCGAATGGTCTAAGTACAGTAAATAACAGATTTTAAGTTGCCTGGGAGGTGCACAAGGGATGTCCTTCCAGTGTAGGAATGAACGCCCACTCCACAACACTGCCACCACAAAATATGTCCACTCGTTGAATGCAGTGCGATGCTAAACGTTCAGGGCAGGGCAGGGCGGGGCGTGGCAGGACCGGGCAGGGGAGGACGGGGCAGGGCAGAGCAGGGCAGAGCGGGGCAGGGCGGGGCAGGGCGGGGCAGGACCTGGCAGGGGAGGACGGGGCAGGAAAAAGCAGGGCAAACACCTATTGTTAGACCAGTTTGGGCTAATTACATTTGTTGTCAAGGTAATGACGTCAACTCTAAAGTAATGACCTGTGGCTGTCTACTTTACAGATTACGGGGTAACATACCGCAATATGTACAACCTTATAGCCACGTGAACACTGGACACCCACTGCACTGAAACAGACATTTAGCCCAGCCCGGGCCATCTCGTCAACACTTTAATCACAACACTCATATCAGAGACTGATGACCAATGTAGGTGTTGTCAGTTATTGGTTTCAACAAGATAACACAACATCGTATTACTCCCTGTCCAGGATATCCACGACTGGTCCATTTTCATTACATTTGGTCACATGCACAGAGCTGAATCAGATACAACTGGCGGGGCATCGGGGTTTTCAACACTGGATTCTGTGATGTTCTTTCATACTACAACGTGAGGTCACGGTCACATATTGTAAGTACATTACAGTGGGTACACCACCACGCATTGATCACTGCACCTGCCTCAAGTTTGTGCAATTTCTATAGGTCACAGTCATCTGCATTTTTACTGATGTGTGATAGCGAAACAATTTGTTCAACTGACTCACGTTTTTGTGGACATACCCCATACATCATGTAATGCCCACAGCAAAAGATTCCACTGTCACGCAATTCTGTGTGAGACTCAGAACTTATAACTCAACCCTCGTACATGTCTTCCTTCATACAGTATGGTATGTTCAAGCTTGAACAATTCGTTTCTCACTTTCTCGCCAGAGACCTCGAACCAATCGGTGTATTCATGTCATATGTCCCTTCTCATGTGTACGTTAATTATGTTGGATCGTGTACCACATGTCCGCCTTGTTGTGAATTACACAGATTTCAGTTATATCACGGCATGCCAGTCTGAAGTGATGTAGTTCTTGGATGTTTTCCACTTTGCTGAAACTATGGGCTTCGAACCCACGATCACGTAAAACTGTCGTGTCTTAGACAAACTTCCCCGAAATATTCTTCACGATACTTCATCTGCTTTTAATTTAAATGCAGAGATTTAGATGTCCACGTAAACATTTAGACTTTCCTAACGAGGTTTGAAAAGTGAAAAAAAAGTTCAATCTGTTCATGTATTTTGATGACAGAATAAAAACTTTGTCGAACGCTTTGGCTTAATAACATGTTTTAAATTGGAGGCGAAAAGTTATGTTAATTAAGTTTTAGAACACTTCAGATTTGTAGAATCATATTGACGAATAAATAATCAATTTGTTGATCTCTCAAAGTCAGTCGTTTCAAACGCACTGCTGTTTTACATCAACCAAAAGTATCATACATGTATGTGAATGTCATAGCAGTGTAGACTTTGGCTTTACATGATACGCATTGTTGTTAAGGTCGACAAAAAAAGGCCACATGTTATCATCACTTGCATGTTCAGAGTGACGTGACCTACAAAATGATATAAGCTCTGACTGAAAACAGCTAAAAACTATAAAGAGCGAGCTCGCATGAAATTCTGCATTGCTAGAAACCCTTTCCTGATCGATACAAAATCATGTTCTTGGTATCTGGAGATCTGGGCGGCTGGAAACCTACATCATCCTGATGACACGGAAAGGCTCAGTTATCTCAAATAAGAAATGGGGTTAATGAAACCGCTTTATTCTGGGAAATTGGTTCTCAAAATCATCCTCCAAAATGACTTTCCAGAAACCACGACACACAACATTAAAGGGAACATCTCAGCATCTCTGCCTTTGTGTAGACCAGTGTCTGTGTGGAGACACCTGATTTACTCTAGATTACTAATTGTGTGGAGACCCATGACCGGGAGACAGGTACTGATCATGATTGGTATATCACCTGAATATGTCAGTCCTTGCAGGAGCTTATGATCCATCAGGGGCGGTCGGGTAGCCTGGTGGTTAAAGCGTTCGCTCGTCACGCCGAAGACCCGGGTTCGATTCCCGACATGGGTACAATGTGTGAAGCCCATTTCTGGTGTCCCCCGCCGTGATATTGCTGGAATATTCCTAAAAGAGGCCTAAAACCATACTCGCTCACTCACTTATGATCATAGAAAACGCAAACAAATACGTTTTACATTGAGTATACACCTTGTACTTGCGCAAACGTCGTGGCATTATGAAGGTGAAGAGCATCGCTGATAAACAAAATATTAAGTCGACTGGTGACGTTTGTGTATATAATTGCCATTATGAACATGATTTTAGAATAGGCATCTTATCGTTTCTTACAATCGATATAGGAAAAGGTTACGCACCTTGCTGTAATGTTGTATTCATACGTCACCCGTATATCATTATGGTCTTATTTCAGTGTTGAATTTTGAGAAAGTGCAAAGAGTTGTAGAGACACTTATGATATCAGTGCATCGACAGATCCTGGAATCCCCGTGTCTGACAGCGCAGCTATGAGTGGCGCCGGAGGAAGCTACCTAGTCTCCAGGGGGCCCCTGCTAGCCCAACTCAGTGCCCTGGCGACGCAACCAAAGGAAGGGACATCCGCTATCCTCACCAAAGATGCCCAGTCTGGCCAGAAGTCGAAAGAATTCTTTTACATCAGAGGTGAAGACAATATATGTGAGACTCGTATGTTACAACATCTCGAATTGTATGTAGATCATAAAGTTAGTGTAAATCTAGACAATCCGTAGATAACTGACTGGGTGAAGACAGTTTGTAGATCTCTGTGTGCAGATTGCTGTCTGTGTAAAGTTCTCAGACTGTGTAGATCTGGGAATGTAATTTGCTGTGTCTGCCGAAGGTGCAATATATCTGACTGCGCTAATTGGGTATATGGCTGATCATGATATGTAAATATTATGACAGTCGTGTGTTGTAGAGATACTAAATCATTTATATCAATACAGGCGCTGGGATGCCCAGATCGGACAACATAGCTATGAGCAGGTCCACGCTGGTCAAAGTCAGTTCTCTGGCGATGCATTCAGAGGAAGAGGGTACACTCTGTCAGTATGGCTCACTGAAGTCGGAAGATGACTTCATTATGATAGATAAAGGGGACAAAGATGAGAATGGTAAGTACATCAACATATAATATAAAACGCCAAAGCCAGAGAATAATCAGTCTCGATTATCTGCCGTAACAGATTTCATTGTCACTATGTGTGTTTAGATTAGTAAATAAATACTTCAATTTCAAACGATATTATCAAATGATAACCTGGTTTAACACTATCACTGTACGAAATTAACTATTTTCTCTCGACCTATGATATGACAAATACCAAGATCTCAAACATGAGTAGGCCATTATTTTGTTGTATTCAAAAACTGTGAAAGCATTATATATTTTTTCAGAGCAACCGTTAACAGTTGAAAGGGCTTCGATAAACACATCTATACGCATAGATTCAGTACAGCCGCTAACATCATCTGTAGAAGCTCAAGACAAGAGAAACGACACAGGACAATGCTCAAAGGACAAAGAGTCCCAAAGAGTAAAGAGACACGGTATCGCCAGCTGGATGGAACTCACCTTCAGCAGTGATGAACTGGAACAGATGGCTCAAGTGGCTGATAAGCAGGTTGTTGTGCCACAGTTGTCCATCGACCAGGAGGTGCTTGTCGTCATTGATAAGACCAACCGTCACGAAACTATGAAGCTTGTTGGCATGGCAGACACTATCAATGTGCTGAAGGAAACGCTTAATAATTTACGAGAAATGTGGGACACCAGTCACAAGAAGAACCAAGATAAACAGAGATCACCAAGGATATCTACATCAATCCTTAGAGGTAATCGGCCACGAGAAACATCTGCTCAAAAACAGGCTTCCATCTACCAAAGTATGACCAGCGTTCCAAAGGAAGAAAACCCAGCTCCAATTAGCACTCTGTTGGACAACGCGACATCAATCCAAAGAGATAAAAAAACACAGGGAACATTAACACAAGAACAGCCATCACTGCACTCAAACGTTGATGATGTTCTAAAGAAAGAAGAGTCAGCTATTCGTGTTGCCATTGAAGTTTTGAAGTATAAGCCGAATGTAAAAACAGTTGACAGTCGACCTAGCGCACAATCTGCAGTTCCATTTACACAAGGTCAGTCCCATCAAAGGAAGATATTGACATAATGTTTGCTGCAAATTGTGTAAACAGGTAGGCATAAGACAAGCAATTAAACATATGACCTATTTCCTTAGATTCTTGAAGCAGTTTGGTACGAGGGCTGGTCCAAAAGTTTTAACCATAACAAACAAAACCAACAATTGTGAAAGTGTTTGTAATTTTATTTTTCAACATAATCTACCTGCTTTTCAACTCACTTCTTATATTGATAGTGAAACTTTTCAATTGAAGTCATGAAGATTTGGTATTCCCGAATACAGTGGTCATAACTTTCTTCACTGATCTTGGTGCTGGAGAAGTGGAATGGTGTGCCATTCCAAGGCTAACAGTGACAATGCCATTTGTCTGAAGCCTCCAAAATGATGTATTTGGGGCATTCTTACAGAAGCTGATTTTCTATCGATAAAAAGCTGTGAACTACGGGACAATGTATATTCTGATTTTATGTTTAACTCCTCAACAGCAGCCTCACGCACTGCCACTAGTCTATTTTTGAATTTGACGAAATTCTCCTTAAATAGCTCTAAATTGTCTCTGGCAATGTCAGTTCATTTCACAGAATATGGAAACTGTTGCGCCGCACGAGCAGATATCTTATTCCTCTGTAAATGTTCATGAATAATAGTCTCAATGGATCGATGGCTTTGACCTGTGTCGTCCTCAAGTTTAGCAATGGTAATGCGTCTATCTGACAGTATCTGACAGATGGAAGTTGAGGGACGTCCAGACCTCGAGTCATCATCAAGGCTTGTTCTCCGAGCCTTAAACACAGCTGCCAACGTTTAACAGTGGAATAGCTGGGGCATGTATTCCCATACACGTGTGACATGCGGTCATTAATGTCTTGAGGAGTATTTTTCTCTGAAGTAAAACACTTCACGACTGCTTGGTACTCATTCTTTTCCATTTCTGTGTCCGTTTGGACCCATATCACGTTCAACTGGCTGGATCGATACTCATTATATCAATCACTGGATTGTCTGGTCCAGACTCGATTATTTACAGACCGTCGTCATATAGCTGGAATATTGCGGCGTAAAACGACAAACCAGACTGAATGCTATAGTTCAATACTTGAACACACTGCACTCTGTACACACGGATACAGATTTAGTGATTATGTACTTTTGCGTTCAAAATGTGGTCTTTTCGAAATGCATTGGCGGGTTATGCTTTTGTCTGCAATTTGTGTGTAGTATACACAAAAGTGTGTTTAATATTTTATTTTTGCAATTAATAATTCGAAACATTTTATTCTTCAGGTATTAAAACTAAAAATAGTTCTGTTTATATTAAAATGCATTCCGTTTCTATATTACTTACATCATCAGGATATTAAATATTCTATGTAAAAGTTATGATATATGAAATGTGCATCAGTTTATGTTTATGTGTATGCTTCCAGAAAATCAAGGACTTAAAGTGACCGTTGGCTTCAATAGGATAGAAAAACAAAACGTAAGTTGTTCATGAGAATGTTGATAATTTGAGTTTGATATGTTGTTCTCATGTATATGCGTGTGTGCGTGCGTGCTTGCTTGCGTGTGTGTCTATTTTTATTTCCGAGCACCCCTGGGTTGCTTGTAACCTGGATCTTCACGATAGGGTGTGAGTTGGGGGAAGGCGGTTTACTTGTCGTAATATATATGATCATTTTCTGCTTTTCCAGGCTGATGTCATAGTAAATACAACCAACAGACAGCTGAGCCTGAGTTGCGGGTTTGGTGTGTCCTACAGCCTGCTGAAGGCGGCTGGTTCCGACATTCAGACATGTCTAAGACACACCTATCCTAACGGGATAGATCACGGTGATTTGGCGGTGGGTCGTTCTGGAAATCTTGACACTTGTAAAAAGATCTACCACGGATGTCTTCCATTCTATAAAGGGTTCAGCGACACAGCACCCCCTTCAAAGTGTTACGAGGTGATGAGTTCGAAAAAGAAGTGATGTCAGCCGTTTAAATGGCACATTATTTTAGATAAGTTAAAAACTTTCAAATTTTCAAATTAAGCTCATATGCTTAATATAGATCTTATACTTTTCAAAATTGAATCAATCTGCAAACCTCTATAGTCAATATTCTCACAATTAATAATATTTTTACGCTATGATAATAATAATTAAAACTGAAGACAGTTAACCTTTTCGATACTCATCTCTGAAATTTCTGCTTAATTCAGAGCCCATTGTATGATTCAGACTATATCATGTGTTTATGAATCACTATCAAAGAGTGATGATACAAGTTGTTCGCGGGGCGGTCGGGTAGCCTAGTGGTTAAAGCGTTCGCTCGTCACGCCGAAGACCCGGGTTCGACTCCTGACATGGGTACAATGTGTGAAGCCCATTTCTGGTGTCCTCCGCCGGGATATTGCTGGAATATTGCAAAAAGCGGCGTAAAACCATACTCACTCACTCGCGAAAGGTTAGTGCAAGCTCCTACCCCAACGCTGGCACCTGTCACAAACACTTGGAAAGGCAAGTAAATATTTCACCTGAAAATATGACACAAAAACGTTATAGTATAAACACAGTGAAGACAGCCCTCACTTGGCCATGAATGATGCAACCTTTAAGCTAGAATCGTATAGTTTTTTATTATCACAATTTTTTCTTTTGAGTAGTCTTGGGCACGGGTGGCGCTGTCGTCTAAGGCGCCGCAATTCGATGTGCACATTTGCGTCCCTTGGGCACACCAGGAACTTATGATCGTGGGTTCGTATCCCGGTTCGCCCCGATTATGTTTCTAGGTTTGTCAGCACCATACCCGTGCTCGTGGGTTTCACGGAAGTGGTAAACGTCTGAGACCTGCATCACTTCGGGCTTTCCTCCCACAATAAGCAGACACGCCGCGATATAACTGGAATACTGTTAAAAACGGCGTTAAACCCAACTCACTCACTCACTCATTCGTGTAGTTTATGGGGTGTTCTTGTAATGCTTTTATCAAGAGTTCTGAGATATTAATCATCTCGACGAACATAAATAAGAATTTTTTATTATTAAGACCGTTTTGTTTATATGGAGATTTTCCCCCACAGTTGCTGGTGTCTCTGGTGTTCCGATGTCTCATCCAGGCCTGCAAGGATGGATTTCAGACAATTGCTCTGCCAGCATTCGGCACAGGAGCCCTACAGTATCCTACCAAGAATGTTGTACAGCTCATGTATCATGCCATTGATGTGTTCACCCAAGACGAAAGAGCGGGATCTCTGAAAGAGATTTTCATAGTTATCTCCCGTGAATCAAGACTGGGAGTGAAACAGGTAAGTGCTATTTGTAAATGCAGTCCAGAAGACAGCCGTCAATGAAACAACACCCTCCTACTTGGGGGCTCACCATTCATATTCTGGGAATTAATTTTTGTTGTTGAAAAACAACAACATATAAACCGTTCACTGGACATGTTGGATGCTTTTGAAAATAATGTGTTGTTGGGTCAAAACAGATATTTCAGAGATAATAACTGTTTGTATTGAGGCTCTGAGTGAAAAATGTCTCAATGTTTCAAAGACATCCCCCATTGGCACATAGTATAATCATTAACTATGAGATACTAACATTATTAAAAGCTGTGTTGTTCAAATGAAATATCAAAGTCAAAGGAATAACTATTTCCTCCCTGGCATCACATTATGTTATTATCACATTATGTTATTATAGAAGCGACAAACCCTGTCCATATTCCAAAGAAATCTCTACTCAAAGTCGCTATACGATTCCGATCATATGCTGAGCATGTGTTTATGAATCAAATGTTCTTTACCAGAATGTGACAGTCTTTATGAATGTAATACAATGAAATTACATACTCTGGTAGAAATTCACCTTTTGGATATGTAGCGTCTGCGAAGGCTAACTTTGCATGTATTTTCACCTCTCATTGCAGCTGTTTCTTGCTCATCGTCTCTCCCATAAGCTCAAGACAAGGCACTTGGCTAACCCCAGAGGTGAGGTGGCAGTGTTTGCCAGTGTGTGGTGTGAGGTATAGACATAGGGGAGACATCCCTACGGTATCCATAATAGGAATTCCACACTCTCAGTGGTTTTGTATCCGCCCATCGGCCATCTCTCTGAGTCAATGTTCCTCCCAAACTAAGGAACGACGGGGGTAGCCAAGTGGATAAAGCTTTGACTAATCACGCCAAAGACCCGTGTTCGATTCCCTGCATGAGTACAATTTGAACCCATTCCAAGTCATATATGATCCAGAATAGCGTTCAGCTAGCTCCACAAAGGTACATTATACCTTGACGATCAGGTGCAATGGTATTAATGGTATGTTAGAATTTAACATTAGATTGCAATATCTGACTTCAACGTGGAATCACTGTCAGATTTCGACCTCATTTCACCTTTCATTGTCAACCAAATTTAACGTCATTTCAACGTTGAAAAGCGACGTTATTTCAACGTTGATACAATGTGGTCGTGCCTGCTGGTGTATTTCCTTTTTGTTGCGAAATGCAATGACGACAAGCCTCGGAGTTACATGACTTCAATACACTTTTTTATAAATTTGATATCACAGGCTCTTGAATCTCAGCCGTATTATGACACTTGTTGTTGGTTCGTTTGTTGTTTAACGCCGCACTCAGCAATATTCCAGCTTTTTGACGGCGGTCTGTAAATAATCGAGTCTGGCCCAGACAATCCAGTGATTAATATCATGAGCATCGATCCACGCTATTGGGATGCGATGACATGCATCAACCAAGTCAGCGAGCCTGACCACCCGATCCCGTTAGTCGCCTTTCACGACAAGCGTAGTCACTTTTACGGCAAGCATGGGTTGCTGAAGACCTATATTCTACCCCGGAATCTTCGTTAACTCTGTTTCAGGACGAACATCTTACTTATCACAAATGTTTCGATTGTGGTTTGGCACGGGACAGGATTTCGGTTTATCTGACTATTTATCACAAGGTACGATGTTATAGTAAACGTTAATCATTACTGTCATCTGTTTTATATTCATTTCAACAGTTATGCCTACGAGGGGCATTCAGTAAGTTTTGCAACTTCAATATGAGACCAAATCGCAGAATATCTTTTGCACTTTTACTTTTTCAATACACCTCAATACACTTATTCCATTTGTCCTTCGGGCTCTTAATACCACTTTTATAGAAATCCGCAGATTGGCCCTCTAACCACGCCTCTATGGCAGCCTTTATGTCCTCGTCATCCTAGAAGCGTCTTCCACGTAGGGCAGATTTCATTTGCCGGAACAGGAAATAGTCACTTGGGGCTAAGCCTGGGCTGTAGGATGGGTGGTTTAACTGTTCGAATCCTCATTCAAATATGGCGGCCTGTGCAATTCTCGACTTGTCATGCAAAAGTAGAATACCACGTGTTGACATCTAACGGCGTTTCTAGAGAATAGATTTCGCAATTCTTTCATTACATTAGCATAATACTGTCCATTGATTGTAGTTTTGGGTGGCATGTGATCAATCAGTAATATGCCTCTTGCATCCCAAAATATGGTGGCCATTACCTTGCCAGCCGATGGCTGAGTGCGAAACTTCCTCGGAGGCGGAGAATTAGGGTGCTTCCATTGCATGGATTCCAATTTAGTTTCTGGGTCAATGTGGTGGATCCATGTTTTATTACCTGTCACCAGATGAGAAAGAAATCCGGCTTCATCTGCAGTATAGAGATCCGGGAGGTCTTGCAGATACCTTGGACATGCCAAGATGCTCATGAATAATGGTTACAACAGTTCCAACTGTTATTTGGAATCCCCGAAAAAAGTTCAGATACTTTCACTCGTCGGTCAGACAAAATTCTTCTTTCTATAGCAGCAATGGTTTCCGGCTGGGTGGCATCTGAAGGCCTGCCGACCTTGGGTCATCGTCTATGGACTCCCTACCCCTTTTAAACTGTAGAGACCAACGGCAAAATGTGGAATAGCCAGGAGCATCCTTACCCATCTCTTTACACTTGCGATCATAGACTTTTTTTGCTTTGCATCCCTCCTTGGTAAGGAACTTTATTACAGCGCGTTGTTCATGTTTGGGAGAATTCATGATTGTGACCACGCTTGGATGAATGAAGCCATCACATCTAACTTATTGTTGTGCCTGGAACTTGTTATGACACGTTTCAACCTAATGTTATGACTAGTGTTACACCTGCCTCAAGTTGACATTATTGTGTAAACACAAATGTCCAAGTTGCAAAACTTATTGAACGCCCCTCGTACATCTAAATTGAAATGTGTGTATATTGCTAGAAGCGCTGTAAATCCATTATAAATGACATATCCACTCACTCAAATGTGCATCTTTCACTACAAAATATATATCTATCGTAATGATCGTAAATATACGCAGCTATTCACAATCTCATCTGTTGCAAACAAATTGATCATATCTACAATGAGACCTTGTTAATCGGGAAACCCCTTCTTCCAAACGAGCACTGCAGGGAACGTATATACACATACACAGAACTACTACTTTGAACCCTTGATTCAGTTATCCAGAAATTTATAAATCCGGACGATTTTAAAAGGAATGATTCTGAGGTTACAATATTTCTACATTTGACCACAACATCTGTACGCAATGACGACATGTCATTACCTAATAGTATTTGTATTATGAAATGTAAGTTAATATGTTTGTGCGTCTTATATAATAAGATACTTGATTAACCATATGTGTTGCTGTGTGATACAGAGATACAGAACTCGCCCAAATGTGAGGTTAGGATCATGGTCGCCGACACGCTTGTCCAGGCCATCAACGTAGGTGTTGTGGAGGCGTGTGATATCACAGGCGCAGTGCTCTTGATCTGGAGAATGGAAGATATTACGAGTATGTGAATTAAGTGCAATATTAATGTACAATTTATTTTTCCGGAGAATGTGAAGACTCCCCAACACTGCAGTCCTCTGCATTACCCAGATTGTCAAAAGGGCTGCATTCCTGGTAGCTAACCCGAGTACTCTCCCAATGTCAGTCAACAGATTGGGAGGTACCAAACCTAAGGCATCAAGAACAATGGGACAACTTGGTGCTTGAGATGCAAGCGTGACATTTCGAAAGCGAGGTCCGCATATTTGCCATGTTTTTCCTGAATTTTCTCAATCACATTAGTGTCAAAAGGGACAGAAATTTCAATACTATAAATGATTTAATTGGATTTATTAAAAGGGACAAGATCAGGTTTGTTGGCCTGGATACGTCTGAGGCTGTATACGGGCGTATTTCAAAGCATTTTGTATTTATCATTGAGGCGTGTCAAGCATGGCGATAACAGTAATAAAAGAATCGAGCCATTCGATCATGTCTCTTAAGATACTGTATTTGTGCCAAAGCTGGGCATCCACTGACAATGTGTTGACAGTCTCATTAAATTTATTGTAAAATCTACGTTAAATAGTTACATTTTGAGGCAAAATCCCACATTGACAGTTTCGAGTGGGAAGTGACTGGTCCTGAGACGCACACTAAAGCAGTGGTCGTTCAGATAGTCTCTCCTTGAAAAACGGAACTGGGCTGATTTGATATGGCACTTCGCTTGATTGACTCTCATTTCTGTACCGTCCAGCAGAACATATTTCCCACATCCTCAGCTCGTTTTAGAAAACTGTGAAATACCTTGTTTTCCTCATGAGACTTGACATGCTTCACAAGCGGATCATCAGACAAAAATATATGTGCAAAAGTAAACAATGCAATTCTATCACGAAGGGCCTCCACGTTAATCAAACCAGGCCCTCCCTTTATAACTGGTAAATATTAGCGATTGAGGGAAGAGCGAGGGTGGTGGGATCTATTGTCTGACATGTTTCTTCGTGTGAGGTTGTCAATACCCTGAATTTCTTGTTTTGTCCCATAAACAACACGTAAAGAATACGAAAGGACGGCCACAGTATAAATGAACATAGTAACATATTAAATATAAACACTTCTTTCTTCTCTTTAAAGAATTAAGTGTACATGTACCAGATTGTTCTGACGAGGGATCCCTACAGGTTTTCTAACTTACAGGATTCAGCGTTTTCAAAATGAAAATTTAAGAAATTTCAAAAGGAATATTAATTTTTATTACACCTCACAATATTTACTGCACAAGTTTTGATTAAATGATATACATGTATTTAAGTTTCATTCACCGTTAAAGATAAACAACACTTTGAAATCGGGAAGGAAAGTGTAGATTTTACCTTTTCACCCAACTACACATTAAAACGGCACCACGCCTCCTGGCATGTCTTTGACAAGTATTTCTTGTGTTTACAGTTTGGGTTTGATCATTGGAATAAAGGGGGCACAGGTAGCCCAGTCGTCAAAGGCGCCGGAATTCGCTGTGCAGAGTGTTTCTACTTTTCCTTTCAGATCCAAACGACCATGCAGGCCTTACATGTATAAACCGTGACAGACACGACTGGGACTGCTGTAGAGAACACGGTGAGTTATACCTTTGGTCAAAGTCAAGACAAAAGGTCTCCGGCCCATATACAAGAGAGAGTTCATCTTCCCGAGGCAAGAGAGTTAACTGACCCTTGCCGAACTAGGCTGGTATTATGGAGTTACATTTTGGCTGTACTAACGAGTCTATACGGAACGAAATCTATTACCGGTTCGTAAACTGTCATGCAGATTTCGGTCGATTGCAGGATTTGCAAAGCATGTGCACCGCCAACTCGTTGTCAACATATATTTTCTCAATCTTTTCATGTTTTTAATCAAGGTGCTAAAGTGATTTGATGCACTTCGCGATGTAAGACCCGTTTTATCACGAGATAGATCTTGATGATTATCGATCAGATCCTCTTACTGGGCGCCACCATTTTATTTGAAACAAATACATGTGATACGAGAGGTGGAATCTGATTGGTCCATAGGAGAGGTTTAGAAGGGACATAACTCGTAATAACCACTGGAGGCGCTACGATCGAGACCAGGAATTCCAACCTTAGTTTGGCAAGGGGGGTTGGGGAACTGGACTCTGAAAGTCAGTTAACTCCCTTGCCTCGGGAAGATAGAGAGAGTTACGCATGAAATTACAATCATACATGTTACACATTGGGATATATACGTTGTTTGATGAGACCATTTCGTTTGGCTAATGCATGCTTAATATATAGAGAAAGACTTAAATAAATTAGATTCGTTCTTTTTCGTCAGAATAACTACAAAGGCGTTTATCGGTGACATTGCTATTAAATATGCTTTGATATATTTCTTTCGAAGATTATCGCAAAATGGACAGACAAACACAAATTGAATTTCATTTTCTATATCTATACTGCATGTAACGAGCTTCCAGTTCCTCCAAGTATAAACTGATACTGATAGACACCACAGTTACTGTTTTAGAGAACATTTTGTCAAAAAGCTATTTATTTATATTAGTATTCTTACAAGTAAATACCTTGACAGAACCAACTGGGACTGTTTCCGAGAACACTGTGTCGATAAAAGACAGACAGACAGACAGACAGTTTATTCAGTATGCAAGGCCATATGGTCCATAGTACAGTTCAGTTTGAACAGATACATACAAAGCAATTGTGTCAATAACTTAATTTATGAATGAGCATTCTGTTCGCACAAGTAAAGGCCGTGGTAGGCACGAATGGGACTATTAGCGCGAACAAGATGAGCTGTAATTGCAGTAAGGTAGCTTATGAAGGAGAAAATGTTCCATTGTGAGCCTTTTTAGGAGACTAAAACTATCGTGTTAGAACGTTGTAGCTTCTTAACTTTGTTTTGTATGCTTGTTTTTGTTTTTATTTGATTCTAAGCAATACTCCAGCTATATTACAGTAAGAAATAGGGGCACACCAATGATTAACATCATGAACATCGAACAAACGATGACATGCATTCAACGAAGTCATCGAGCCTGATCACCGATCCATTTATTCACATCGACATAGATTCTGGGGACCTATATTTTTTCCCGGAATCGCAACGGGCTTTGTATTCTTGTAGATCTAAATACGAGTGTTGTGAAGAGGTGAAATGGCGTTTAACATCGCGTCCTTGATTATTGCACCTTTTTGTGGTGTGTGTGGCTGCTTGTACTAGTCCGGACTGATGCCGATTTAAAGTGCTAGCCCACTGAGATACCATGCCACAGTTGAACATCCATACCCGACTCAGACACAGTATACTGACACCGAACCGACCAGTCCTTGTTTTAGCCCCTTTATGCCGAGCGCCAGACAGGGTAACAACAAGTACCATCTTTTAATGTCTAGAATGACGCGGCGGGGATCGAACCCCGGTACCAGTAGACCACCGAGGCGTTTAAGGGACCCATGACACTTATAAATATGTGACCATTCGTTGTGTTTCAAGGCTCAGCCAGACGATCCCCTGGCAATACTGAGGCATCTTTACAAACATATATACAACCGGAGTCAATTGTATCTGTGCACAGCTGTGTTTGGTTTGACGATGTGTTCTTATCTTCAACAGTAGCGGATTTAAAGAGGACTAGTTGTGTGGCTGACACGACCACCGTGCCGGGGACGACCCTCATCCACACCTACAGTCGCAGCGTCAGCGAGGCCAGTGTGAGTGAGGCATTGCAGAGAGGGTTGCGTCTTGCTGCCAAGGAAGGGTGTTACCATGTCACCGTACCGCTGCCTTCTGAAGGTAAGGATACACCATTCGCAGAGCATGGCGAAATGTTGACGTTCAATATGACGTTGTGTTGTCCTTAAGTCTTACAATTCGTGACTTACTGAATACGTTTTGACCTACATATATCCTGATTATTGTGTCTTGACCTATATCTATCCTGATTACTGTGTTTTGACCTATAGCTATCCTGATAACTGTGTTTTGACCTACAGATATCCTGATTACTGTGTTTTGACCTACAAATATCCTGATTACTGTGTTTTGACCTACGTCTATCCTGATTACTGTGTTTTGACCTACATATATCCTGGTTACTGTGTTTTGACCTACATATATCCCGATTACTGTGTTTTGACCTACGTCTATCCCGATTACTGTGTTTTGACCTACATATATCCCGATTACTGTGTTTTGACCTACGTCTATCCTGGTTATTGTGTTTTGACCTACAGATATCCTGATTACTGTGTTTTGACCTACAAATATCCTGATTACTGTATTTTGACCTACATCTATCCTGATTACTGTTTTGACCTACTTATATCCTGATTACTGTGTTTTGACCTACATCTATCCTGATTACTGTGTTTTGACCACGTCTATCCTGATTACTGTGTTTAACCTACATCTATCCCGATTACTGTGTTTTGACCTACGTCTATCCTGATTACTGTGTTTTGACCTACATCTATCCTGTTTACTGTGTTTTGACCTACGTCTATCCTGATTACTGTGTTTTGACCTACATATATCCCGATTACTGTGTTTTGACCTACATCTATCCTGGTTATTGTGTTTTGACCTACATATATCCTGATTACTGTGTTTTGACCTACATATATCCTGATTACTGTGTTTTGACCTAACTTTCACGATAACTGTGTTTTGACCTACATATATCCTGATTATTGTGTTTTGATCTACATATATCCTGATGCTTGTGTGTACACCTACATATTTCCCGATTTCTGTATTTTGATCTACTGTTATTACTTTATTACTTTTTCATTTATCCCAAAAAGATGGTATTAGCTTTTAGTGTTAGTGTTTTCGGAGAAACATTCAAAACTAAGATAAGCATTTTGCTGTTTGTCATAATCCAGGCAGCCTCGCGGCAAGACCGGATCAGTCAGCTTCCGCCATTGCTTCTGCCATAAACCGGCGTCCCTGTGGGGTGTATGTCGTAACAGTCATCATCCCCGATAACGACATCTATGTCGGAATAGTAACCAGAATCGCCAGCCGTGGAATAGTTCAGGAGCCCCCGGATGTCGACAAGGTTTCCCTAGTTGGTAAGTTCACGTAAAAGGGAGCTATAGGGTAGCCCAGTGGTTCGATTCCCCATGTGAGATAGTGTTTGAAGGCCATGTCTGGTGTTCTCCGCCGTGATATTGCTGGAATATTGCTGGAATATTAGGAGCGCCCATCCTTCGGGGTACAATGACCAACCAGTCACCGAGCCTGACCACCCGACCTGTTACTTCGCCTCGTACGACCAACATAGGTTGCTTGACATATATTCTTACCAGGACTCCCTACGGGGAGGATCACTATAAGATAGTAACACATTCAGACTGGATGTTAATTGCAATAGTCGGAGGTACAGTAAACTACGGTTATAACGAACTCAAATGGACCACTAATTTTAGTAGTTCGTTATAACCACATATACGACATCCATACAACAAATGGCCGGGACCAAACATTAATTTCGTAATATCCGTCAGTTCGTTATAAGTGTGTTCGTTATAAACGTACTTTACTGTATATGTAATACCATCAGTGGACGCTGAATGCATTAATGTCCTCTTACATTGACATTATTTCAATATATTTTGGCAGATTTTTAATCGCTTTATTGTTAATTGGGCACATGGTATTATGTTGCTTTCAACATTCTAAGTTTATTCCCAACTATTTAAGTTTTTTAAGTATCTTATGATTTAGCATTTAACTGTTTCAGATTCCTTGTGGAAAGTTACGTTCTCCCGTCAGCAGAACCTTGCAGCGATGCTTAACACAGCGGTGGATGCCGTCATGGTTGTCACGTCAGATTCGGAGGAGACAAACAGGAACGCCGCCAGGGATGTGGAGAGGGAGCTGCACGTGCATCTGAATGATGTCGTGTACTCTCGCAGACAGTAGGGTAACCTGACTGTCTTCAGTTTACTCTCTCAGAAAATAGGGCAACCTGACGCTCTTCAGTTTACTCTCGCAGACAGTAGGGCAACCTGATGCTCTTCAGTTTACTATTGCAGACAGTAGGGCAACCTGACGCTCTTCAGTTTACTCTCGCAGACAGTAGGGCAACCTGACGGACTTCAGTTTTACTGACCTTTCCAGACAATAGGGCACCATGCCTGTCCTCGGATGACGCCTGAGATTACTTTCGCAGACAGTTGGGCAACCTGACTGTTTTCAGTTTACCCTAAGAACAACATACCCGTTTTCGGATGACATTGCACCAATGCATTCATGGCATCATTTAATAATAGCGAGGAAATCATGGATGAGAATTGATGCTACACTTTGACTGTTTGCAGGTCGTACAGAGCATCACTTTGTAGTATTTGACGATGCATTCACGTGATTTAAGTTAAGGCTGATGCATTGTGTTTCACACTCATATCTATCTATATAAATATTGGTAAGTTAACATTGTACAGCTACTGCTTGATTGTGCCAAAATTCCACACCCTGTCTTTCACACATGGTCATATACATGTACATACCGTACATTATGCCTACCTTCATAGAACATATGTGAGGAACGGAAATAAACTATTATATGCATTATATATATCATTATTATCAAGTAATGTCTTTCCCAGTAAGCTTCTATAGGCGTTGAGGGGACACAGGTGGCCCAGTTGTCTAAGGCGCCGCGATTCGCTGTGCAGAGTTGCGTCCCTTGATTGTGGGTTCGAATCCCGGTTCGCCCCAAATATGTTTCTAAGTTTGCAAGCACCATATCCGTGCTCGTGGGTTTCACCGAAGTGGTAAACGTCCGAGACCTGCATCACTTCGGGCTTTCCTCCCAAATTAAGCTGACACATCGTGATATAACTGCAATAATGTTAAAAGCGATATTAATTAAACCCAACTCACTCACTCACTCAATAGACGTTGAACGCAGTTATTTTCTTAAGGTTAGATAAGGGGTACAAGTTTTTAGATCAATGGTCATAAAGTCTGTGGAATCTTACAGACCTTTTCCAAATTGGAAAATGTTTAGTTTAGTCTGTTCGGTGTTGTCACCGTTTGACACGACCCCTCGTTCCTCGTCGGACTCTTTACACCATATGGAAGATTTACAAACATTTACAAACATTTACAAACATTTAATGTACCATGCTATACGTTTTAACATTTTAAGTGTATTTCAAAGAATTTTATGTGGATATACAGATTGCAGTCCATCATATTATGGAATAATATGCATTTCATTAATCGTACAAATGTTAATTTTGCAAGAACATCTGAGAGATATGCAGTTACTTCATGGTATGCCTTTACCTTTGTTTTGAAGTGTTTTAGATCACTTGACATCCCGTCAACGCATATCTGTACGGTTATATTTTAATTCTATTTGTATCGATTTACCCATGCAGAGATAGGGCAAGACGAAACAACTGGTCGACCATTGACCATGTCCACTCAGACGTGTACATGCTTGAATGCTTTGATTCCTGTTGTATCAAGTCAGAATGATCTATCAGTCTATAGTACTGCAGCTTTGTAGAAGTTAGTAGATAAATAAATGTTATTGTGAATCTTGTCTATTGTTCTCAAAATTAACTCTAGTGATAAAGTCTTTATTGCCTTACACAGTCAGTTTGTCATGACCCTTGTCCAGTTCTGGTATGTAGGAGGAGCATTCAATAAGTTTTAGAACTTCAATATAAGACCAAGTCGCCGAGTATCTTTTGCACTTCTATTTTTCGATGTAATCTGCATTCACCTCAATACACTTATTCAATTTGTCCTTCAAGCTTTAAATACCACTTTTATAGAAATCCGCAAATTGGCCCTCTAACCACGCCTCTGTGGCAGCCTTTATGTCCTCGTCATCCTGGAAGCGTCTTCCGCATTTGCCGGAACAAGAAATAGTCACTGGGAGCAAAGTCTGGGCTGTAGGGTGGGTCATTTAACTGTTCGAATCCACATTCACATATGGCGGCCTGTGCAATTCTCGACTTGTGAACCGGAGCATGTGAGGAACTTTATTACAGCGCGTTGTTCATGTTTAAGACAATCCATGATTGTGACCACCCTTAGGTGAATGAAGCCATTACATCTAACTTATTATTGTGTCTGGAACTTGTTATGACATGTGTCAACCTGATGTTATGACTAGTGTCACACCTGCCACAAGTTGACATTGTTTGTGTAAACACAAATGCCCAAGTTGAACGTCCCTCGTATTTACAATAAATAAAAAAATTATTTCAATTGACATTCAGCAGGGTATTGACTTTACACTATTCAGCTTTCCCTTCATGTCGAGCAATATCCAAGCAGATCCAGCCTTGGTGTCTACATATCTCAACTTTTGAAGTACAATCACGCATGCTCCTTCAGCGAAGATTTCAAAGAACGTTATACGACTCGTGCTCATAAGTTGTTGGACATTTTGAAGCATCAGTGACCAAAATGATGTCTGACGTACTTCATCATTCTGACTTGTACCACATGCTTCCGTGTTATTTCAGGTGAACAATTGACTTCCCTTTGCATGTGTTTGTGACGGATGCCACCGATGGGGCAGGATACGCTGCCGTTTTCGCAAACACTTGGTATCATCACTATTTGACACTAATTCATAAACACATGCATATAATGTTGTCGGAATCTTACAGATGTCAAAGGGAGTTATTCATGATTGTAGTAATACTGTTTCACAACTTCCTACACACTGTTTCAGTATTAAAAGCGCCTTCAACCAATGCCCTCTAAAATCAAATAGCTGCTTTAGGACCTCAAACATGCATGTGTAATTTATTCTCTTAAGTCCATTTAATTATGGTAAACTGACAAAAAATACAATATTATTTTGGAAGGACAGCAACGAAACATCCTACAACAGAATGATGTTTCAGGCCACACTTACATGTACATGTTGTCTTGTTCGATTAGCATATCGTCCTTCGCAGTGATAGAGTCACTTTTAACTGTGATATGATTGAATACTTATACTTTACCAACAGTTTGAAGTAGGGATGTAACATGGTCACTTTTTGACGTACAAGCAGAAAAGTTAAAAAAGTGCTCGCTATATGTAAATCAAGAGGGGAAATTTTCTAGTGTACAGTAGCACATATATAACCTAGCAAAATAATAACCCGAAGGTAATTGCTCTCCTAGATGTTTCAGTATTATCTTCAGGGAGAAGTGATTATGTATAAATAAAAATAAAAAAAAACCCAAAACAACCGCAAATCCAAAAACATATTATTTGTATTATTTTGGATTATTTGTAGGAGATAGTAAGTCCTACGTAGGAGATAGTAAGTCCTACGTAGGAGATAGTAAGTCCTACGTAGGACATAGTAAGTCCTACGTAGGAGATTCTTAGACAAAAACAATTTCACCGTGGCCCTACTACGCTTCCGTAGACATTAATGTCGGAATGCTGAAAGAATCTGTGTTGATCGACAAGTTTGTATTACCGTCGATGTGTTGATGAAGCCGGTCATGCTGTACAGAGATCTTGTATCAATCCCCAGATAGCGTTGAAACGATGGAGGAAGCTTGTCGACTTGACTACCTTCAGTATAGATACCCCAGCATATCACAAACACATAAACTACAGGACAAAAGAAATGCATAGCTGAATTCAAAAGACACTTTTATATCAGGAATTAATCATTTGGTTACAAAGATATGTAAAGATATGAATAGAAAATGCCATTTAGAAAGTGGTAAAATGTAACAACTGTTATATTTGGGATAACATGTTCTTAGTAAAGTATAGATTCTCGTACTTTTTGGGGGTTGAGTCCCGTCCGGGATTCGAACACACACTTGCCAGAGTGAGGCACCTAATCGCCAGCACACAAAGTCAGCGATCTAACCAACTCAGCCACCGAGGCGTTCAAAAAACTGAAAGTCCGACAACTGGTAGTCTAGATCACGTACTTTGAGTACCCCTCTGACAAGTGTAAATTGGCACGGCTCCAATGGCCGAAAGCTATGTTAGATCGCTGACTTTGTGTGCTGGCGATTAGGTGATCAATTTCACTGTGTTACAAGGGACAAGGACACAACACAATATCGTGGAATCATACCGCTGGAATCAAAGATATCCTAACACCGCCGACCTATGGAATCAACAAGATTCCACATGATGCCTGGGAATGTTTATCTTGTTTCAAAGCCAACAAAAGCTCAGCGTTACGTCGTCGTACACGCTTATTACGTTCGTCCCACACATGTTCAGTTGGGTTGAGATCTGGTGATCTGGATGGCCACTGATGAACAGGAATGTTGTTTTGTGTTAGGAAATTAGTTGTGCATCGAGTGTGGTCGGGCAATGTTATGTTGAAAACGACGTACGTTGGTTCATGAATGGAGTGAGTGAGTGAGTTTAACGCCGCTTTTAACAGTATTCCAGTCATATCACGGCGTGTCAGCTTAATGTGGGAGGAAAGCCCGAAGTGATGCAGGTCTCAGACGCTTACCACTTCGATGAAACCCACGAGCACGGGTATGGTGCTGACAAACCTAGAAACATAATCGGGGCGAACCGGGATTCGATCTCACAATCATAGGTTTCTGGCGTGCCCAAGGGACTCTGCACAGCTTATTAGAGCGACCGAGGTGACATGCTTTAATGTCTGGTGTACTTGCGTAGGCTTTGTCTTTCACGATACGCTTTGTTATCACGGTGTACAAAAGTAGGCCAAATGTTATCACCACTTGCATACATGTCGCTGTGTGACGTGACCTACAACATGGCAAAGGAACTGGCTGAAAACAGCTCCGTGACCATCACGAGTTAGCTAATTCTACATTCCTAGAAGCCCGTTTAGGATCGATACAAGATCACGTACCTGGTACCTGGAGAGCCGGGAGACTGAAAATCTGCATCAACTAACGACTTGGAAGGATACAGTTATCCCAAGTAAGAAATGGAGTTAATGAAACCTCGTTATTCTGACTGATTGGTCCTCAAAATCATCCTCCAAAATGTTTTTTCAAGAAAACGCTACACATTAAAAAAAGATCTTTGCATCTCTTCCTGTGTGTAGATGTATGACAGTGTGGAGACTGATTGTTGATAAATAATTGTACTATGACTGTCTACAGACTGTGTGGAGTTCTCTGGCTGTGTCTCGATACCTAATTGTGTGGAGGCAACTGGCCGTGAGTAGATGACTGTATGTTTGGGGACCAATGACTGCGAGACGTGTATCTAGCGTGTGTAGATCCCTGCCTGTGTGTATATTACTACATATTATATAGTGTGTTGAGATCTCTGATTGGAGATTACTGACTTTGTACATCACTGATGTGTATAGGTCTGTCACCGATATGCAAAGCTCCTATTGTGCGGATCCTGTGACTGTGTGTATATCTGTGAAGGTGTGGAAATTTCTGACTGTGTCGATATCACTGACTGTATGTAGATCTCTGTCTGTTAGGAGATCTTTGGTCGAGTTGAGAGCCCAGATGCGTCCCTTAGCGTCAACGTTTTTCTGTACAAGTGAATATATATTTAACAGTGTTTTTTTAATATTGTGGAGCTCGACCCGACTGTGTGTACCCAGTGGGAAGATCTGGGAAAGAAGCTCTCCGAGTGAGTGTCTACGGAGTATTTATGGTATCCGCCGTAGGTTCATCAACACATCTGAGTCAATACAATGGGTTTAATACTCACCTGTGAAGAGACAAGACACCTTTATTACACATAGCGAATGGGCACGTCGGTAGCACTATACATCTGTATTATGCAACGTATTCTGTACAATAAGGGCCCCGCTCGAAATTAAGGGGCTAAATCAAGGACTGGTCGGCTCGGAGTCAGTATAATGTGACTGAGTGGGGTATTCATGTTAAACTGTGGCATGGTATCTCAGTGGGCTAGCACTTTAAATAGGCATCAGTCCGGACTAGTACAAGCAGCCACACACATACATACACATGTGCAAAAATCTTGGACGCGACGTTAAACCCCATCTCACCTCACCTCATCACTCTTTGTAAGAAAAACGGTATCTAACGGGTTTAGTTTAGTAGTCCATATATATGAATTAGAAAGCTATTCTCTTCACAGTAACTGTTGTGAGTCATAGAGATACTAGGATATCAATACATCGACAGGTCCTGGGATCACCATGACTGACAACGTAGCTTTATGTAGCTCAATAGGACGCTACCTAGACCCCAGTAGACCATGGCTGACCCAGCTTAGAGCCCTGGCGACGCAAGCAAAGGAGGGAGCATCCGCCATCCTGAAAAGTGATGCCCAGTCTGGCACGATGAAGTCGACAAGTTACTTCATCATAAGTGATGAAGGAGAGATGTGTGATACTCGTAAGTGTGTTAACGATAACTCTACTTGCATGTAGACCATAGACTTAGGAGATATATGACTTTGAGTAGATAAGTGTCAGTATGATGATAACTGACTATGCACAGATCTATGACTGTGTACATCACTGACTATGTGAAGATCCTTGACAGTTTATAGATCTCTGTATGTGTGGAGATCTCTGACAGTTTGTGGAAATCGCTGTCTGTCTAAAAAGATCAGACTGTAGATCTGGGAATTTGAT